TGGAGCAAGGGGTCGGGTTGTTGTCTTTGTTCTCTTTCTGCTCAAAACTGATCTTAAATGGGGGCTCAGCAGGCTCTTCCGGTAGCTCATTGTACGTCACTATCACCTATGGGATGAAAGCCAAAGGTAACTAGTAGACAATAGTGTACACAAACAAACAAATCAAATCATTTGAATCTGTCAAGCTTTTACATGAGAACTGCCTGGGAAAGAAAAATGCACGTACGCCGCTGATCAACCGCGGCGCCTTGAAAGCTATTTTGTCTAATATATAATGACACTCAATTAAGACTGACAGTGTTTGAATTCTCTTTTGCCTTTAACCATCGAACCATTCCCAACCACAAGGTGTCTTGTCCAAAACACACAGCTCCAAAGCTCAAGCAGTTTTGGTTTATAAATGTTAAGCCGTGCAGTTCAAACAAATTAGCGTTTAAAACCAAAAGTATATTCCATAAAAATTTTGGACAATGCTACATGTCTAGCTGTCCTCCATGTTTCACGATTCCGAGGTGGGTTAGACACCATCCGATAAGAAATGCCCATGGGGTGTTGACTACAACAATCTGAGTCTCAAGACCCATCCTTAAGGATGTTTTTTACACCAACCTGTGTCATGACACAGCCGGGACCTGTGGCCATCATCTTGACCTGGACGGGCACCTCCGGCACCGTCAGGGTCTGCAGCAGCAGGCGGTTGTGATCCTTTACATACAGCCAGTGAGGGTTGGGCTCGCAGGAGAACTTGACCTGGAGCTGGATATCCTGCTGACCCCCACGGTAGGCCATCAGGCCGTACTCAGCCAGAGCTTGCAAGGCCATCACCGTGTCCTGAAGATGGACAAAACGGGACCCGTCAGTGATGTTTGGTCAAGAATGATCACGAACCCGTTATCTTCAGTCACAATAACACAAATTCACGTTAGTCAGAAATCATATTTCTCTTTGATTTGGGAGAGATACATTTAAGAACAGAAAACAATCTGAACCCTTTAAAATAAAAGCCAAAGGTTTTGTAAAATAGCATTTATTTGTATAGGTGTCATCAGTAGTAGGGATATTTGGAATTTAGTTCCTGTAAAAGTGTGAGGTGAACAATTGACACAGGCAAAATTACTCACAAAGAAACAAATGTGCAATGTTTGGAGATAAATTATCTTAGAGAACATCTGCATATGTGCAGGTTCATTTTGTAAATTAGATTACTATTAACCCTAACAGTCCTCAATCCTTCTCCTGTTGGAGGACTGAGGACTGTTATAGGGTAAAGTTACTTAAGGACACCATTTCTGATCTTCAATCATTAAATGGGGCAGGCCAACCATCAAGCAGATACTCTTGAAAAAAGAAAAAAATTAAAAATTAAGTTTCAACATTTATCTTAATGGCATTTGGGTGATACTGAAGTCAGTGCACTGGGTATGCTGGGTACGCAAAATTTGTACGTGACGATAAAAAAAAAAAATTAGTAGAAATCATTAAGGTACTTCCAAGTTTTTATTTGGTTATTCTTGTATCTATTCATTCGCCATTTTTTGTAATTTTTAAAACATTTCCGGGGGGAGGTTATACTACTGAAAACAAGCTCAAGAGAAAATGTACAAATCAGATCAAAGATAATCACACAACCAAAGTATCGAGCTCGTGAGAACCAAACCTGAGTAGAGGCAAACCCTCCATTGGCGTTGCGCTGTCCGACAATCCAGCGGGCCACAGTGTTTCCCTGTACCAGTGCCTCCGTCTTACTGTAGGCCCAGATGTAGGTCAGCAGCACGTAGGAGGTGATCTCGATGTGTTGTGAAGAGGCCTGGTGGTGGAGGTACGGGGGTCGATCATCGGGGACTGGTTCCGGACGCCCCTCCCAGTGTCTCAGGCCGTCGTCAGAATCTTAAGACAGAGGAAGATGCAAAATAAATAAATACCTACAGAAATAAATAAAGAAAAGAAGATCCAGAATGATGGGTTAACAAACACAAACGCCCAGCCAAATCCATGCCTGAACCCAAGACTTGTGATCAAAAGAGTGTCCATTGAGAATTTATCATTTCTGTTGTTTTAACACCACTGACCTTGACCTTTGACCTATGCAATTTGTTATACAATAAGTTGGTACGTCCAGTCCTTCTCTTCTTATGGGGGAAGAAATAAACATCTCTACTGTTTTCACAGTAAACCTTTGATGTCCAAAATCAACAGTCTTCGGGATCTGATCAGACCAAATCACACAACCAAATTTGAAACTGATAAGCAAAAGCTTACTCGATTTATAGTGGGAAATCTATATTTCTCTGCCCTGCAATATATTCCCTACTAGAAAAATCAGTCATCAACTGGTCATTAGAAATTGGCATCACCAAAAAAGGCATCAAAGGCAAGAAAAGGGGAGCAATTGGAAGCGCCAACTGAAAGAACAAATAAGGAATGAAGTCACCAGCAGTCATCAAGAATGCGTGATTCAATGTCAGAATAATGACCATTTTTGCAGACAAGATATATGACAGCCTTCAGCCCCTTTGCGTGCTGCTGTTACCCAATATAGCTGGTTACTTTTTACCCACGTCCCCAGGCTTCCACTGAGTGCTCTGAATGAAAAATGTTATCCGATTGTCATGGAGGGAAATAAACTTAAGTCAGAACCTCTTTCATTTCTTTATTTCTATGCCCTGTCAGCAAAGCCCAAAGGGATTAATATATTTGCCTTGTGCTTACGTGGGTGTGTGTGTATGTGTCAATCTGTCTGAATGGGCCTTCACAACATAGCAAGACAATTTCTTTTTTTTTTTAGGCAAATGAGGACCAACTTGTTGGGACATTTCTCTGTCCCCACAATTTTTCAGGTCCCCTCATAAGCGTGTGTCCCCACAACTACAAAGCAAGTTTGTCTGTGTGTCCACAAGCAGTTTTCTTACTGCAATTTGAGAAAAATTGGACATTTCAACCTTTTCTTTCCGGTATAGTGACGCTGTGCATTCCACGGTCATTTGTGAAGTAGCAAGTGCATTTCCAACCAAAGGAGCCTCCACTGTTTGTACAATTGCACCCTCTCTTGGTCCTGCTCGGGGCTCATAGTGAAAAGAGTATTTGACAATTGGCCTAACCACACAGGATGATATACGGTCTCATCTAATTGAAAATGAATCCTATACATCAACACATGAGCAACAACTGCACAAAAACAGAGCAAAAGGCACAAGTGCAATCCCGGGGGAGGGAGGAGAGAGGGTACATCGCCCACCCCAAAATAAATGAGTTTCCAACATCATATAAGGCAATCCTCCTAATAATTTGCCACAATGTTCATTTCCGTTTCCAGGAGCAAGGCCCTTCAACATAAAAAGACTGTTTACAAGTGACATCCTGATTGATTCTAACAATAAAAATAATTGAGAAATAGGATATTTGATATGCATGAGCTTAGTGCATAACATGTATTATTTATTATTCAATTTACCCTGGCCCAACCAACCGTGATGAGAACTCGTGGCTGATGACAAAAGGAAAAGGACCTCGATTACAAATTCTGAAGCAGGGTACGAGCTGGCTCTGGCTTATTGCATGAAATTTGTATGAGTCCAGATGAAGTTTTATTCCATACATGATGTGAGGTGACAGTCCACTGTCATGGAAACAAGATGGCCAACAACCCATTAGTCCAGGTGGTATGAAAGCCATCAGGTTGGGGTCCAACTAAGAAAAGATGGGTATCCACACTGTGTGCAGGTACGTAGTCCCTCCCTCACCAAGGAGAGAAAGGTTAGATGGGTGACTTCATGCAACTGGGTGTCAAGGCCAAGGTGTACTGGTGTGACACGTGGAATATAAAACCAAAATCTCAATTCCAAACTAGTCATCCGAGCTCCGTGACATAAATACCACGCATGTGAACCCGTACATACATACGGTATCACCCCACAGTGATGCAATATCTTTTGTCACTGACATCACAGACTGACACCAAATGACATTTGTGTGTGTGAGTTTGTTTCTGCATTCAATTGGGTACCCTGAACAATAGAAAACAATAAGGTCCCAATTGACAGAGGGTCCCCGATTGACAACTGTGTACAAAACATATGGGTGGTCTTCTAAAAAAGTTACAGTACAGACAAAAGAGGAACAATAGGGGGTCCCCATAACCAGTTGCAGGCAAATACCCACTTGGATGTGTGGGCCTCATCAAGCCAACAACATTGTTGTCATGAACCCCCCCCCTAGGTGTACTGCACGTGTACTCCAGACATCTTTCCAAAGTTAGAAAAGTGAAATGATGCTATATGCCACAACTACACGGACGGATGTAATCAGTGTTAAACTTTTTAATGCATATTTCCCTGAATCCTATATCCACAAAATGTTTGTGAATGTCTGTGAAAACCCAACTCTTTAACCCCTTCGTACCAGGCGGCGGCTATAGCCGCCGTAAAAATTGAGATCCTGAGCCTACTTGTCAGCTATTATTCTCAGCTCACGCTCGAGCGAACACGGTGAAAGAAGGCAGACCCTGGCTCTCGCATATACGGTAATTGGTCATTGTGCGTAGCCCAGAAATGAAAAGACCGATTTTTGCATCATAATCACCAGCTTCAAAATAGTCCCCACTTTGAAAAGAGGCAACAGAAATGTGGAAGGGTGAGTAGAGCCGCATGCCACCGAACAATCAACCTTTTCACTGTGTAATTCAAAGCGTGCAGAGCACGTAGGGCCACAAACCGAGAATTTGCGGTTTGGCGGGTGGCAACGTGCAAGTTGCATGTTAGTTCGTGAGGATGATAATGAGCTGATTCAGACATGGGCTCAGTGACCTATGAGTTCACCTTAAATGCTCACAAGCTTACCCACTGCCAGCATGTCAAGCCTAGCCAGTATATCCTCCTTGTTGGGGTGGCCAGCTAAGATGTAGGCATAGCTGGCTATGGCTAGCGTGTACATGTCGGCAGAATCGATGTTGATCTTTCCATCCAGGCAGCCGATGGCTTTCTGTACATGTGCATCCTGGGGAGGGGGGGGCAGATCGGTACAAATAAAATCCAGATGCAGGGAAATGGAACATGACAATAAATGAAGTTTACACAGTCATTCAGTAGCAACCAACTTCAAATCAAACTGTCTTGCCTCAGGATTCTAAGATATTTGTCCGCAAAAAGCCGGTTCAAAATTTTTGCTGCTTTATGACTGAAAAAAGGCATCTTGTTCATGATTTCACGGGCCATTACTATGGGGTCCTCTATCAGACACTATGTTGAAAAGGAACTTGCAACTGTAAAACTGAAACAAGCATGATATTGTTCACAAAATGACGTCACACCATATACACATTACAGTTTATGACCTTGGACTACACAACTTCAAATCATGAAGACCTTTCACCTTTCAGCGAATAAGCTTGAAGTTAACATCAAAAATAGTTCACAAAGCGATCCAATAAGGAGCTTTGAATGTTAGATCGGTGAGCTTACATCAAGAGGTACTCCCGCCTCTATGAGAGAGATGATGACGTAGGCAGTGAGGGTTGTGACATCATTCACGCTTCCCTAGGAACACAAAAATGAGCAACATGTGTGTAATAGGGTCCCAAAGGCCATGTCCACATCACTTGGCTGTGGCTTAAAATTGCATACAACCCAATGGGAGGCGGCTGCAGCCACAACCATAGACTTGCGCATTATTTCAAGTGGAAAGGGCTAAAGACTCTGGTTTACGTGATGAGTATGCTGTCAGAAAAACAAGGAACATATTTTATGTGCATAAGTTTATCATTTCTGCAGTCCTCAATTTTCTATATGTCAGTCCAAGTGCATCTGCCATATATGAGAGCAAGAAACACACAGATCTCTCAGTCTGCGGTCACCCATACCCGATGACTGATGGAGGTGGGGTGGGGGGAATGGTGGGGTAGATGACTGGAACAGGGGAGGGGGGTGGGGGTGAGCAAGGGGCAGGCAACTACTCCCCAAAATAAATGACAAACAGCACATTAAAATCACCACAATGGAGGTGCTGTTGGCTATTGATCCACCATCTTCCCTTCTCATACGCTTACACAAATGCACGAGACTAAGAAAGAGTTTGGGGAAACCATCTTAAACCATATACCTTCATGTCCTTGTGTATGACCCTGCCTCGGGACTCGAAGCATCCGTCTGAATCTCTTTGCTGCTTGCGCAGCCAGGCCGTGCTCTTGTCCAAGTCCTCCTGGTCGATGTAGATGTAGCGCTTGGCCTGGGCGAAGGAGCGCATAACGAAGGCTGTCAGCCAGGTGCTGCCCTCGGGGTCGCTCATGCCAAAGGCCGAGTAGGAGTTGTCGTTCCGCCGATAGTTCAGCTCCCGCTGGTAGCCGATCTTCATGTTCTCCTTGGCCTTGTTTTCAATAAGAGCACTGAGCTTGTTGATACCTAAAACAAACGGCAAAAAAAGCAGATACAAAGAAATTCTGAAGATTCAGAGATTGTGAATGTTAAGAAAATAGTCAGATCGGGGCCAAGAATGCTCCAACGAAATGAAACTTACTCAAGCGTGCATAGATAATTGAATCATGAAAAAAATATTTTCTAATCCAAACTAATTAAATACAAAAGTTACTTTAAAAGTTTTTTTGACAGTTCTCAAAATTGTTTCAGCAAACTCGGGCATACAAAAGATTTAGGTCCAAGTTCATCTGAACCACCAAGCACACATCGCAGTAAAGCATGTAGTTTTTCTGAAGGACAAAATATACTACTTACTCGGGACTCAATTCTAACTTTGTCTAAATTCAATGCCCCTTTGCATTTTTACCAGCTTGAGAACATAATCTAAAACTCACTCTAGTGCTTTTAACATGGCTTTTTAAAATCTCTTCAACAGTGTCGGATTCTAATGTCCTATCGCTGATCTTAAAATTCTCCCACTGTACCTTTCAGGTAGTGCAGGACAAAGATGTTGGGGACGAACCCAATCATGTTCTGTTCACCACAACCAGTTGGGATCTTCAGGAGATGGTCAAGGTTACTGATAGTGGGGCCAAGCATGTCTCCTGTGAATTACACGATTAGAGGGAACAAAGGACGATAATTGTCAACTTTAAATAACTGAATTGAACACCAATCATATAGTGTCACTTTACTAAATACCAATAACACTGACTGGGCCTTTACCACGAGACAAAGTGTCAAAAATGGCAGTGAGAGAAGCCAGGGCACTTGACTGCCATGTTTCACACTTCTTGTTTTTACCCCATGCCACTCCCCTCCCCCAATCGCTATCAACATGAGGTGGCTCACCAAATCCCACCACGGACCTCAATGCTTGGATGAAATTTTACTTTACCACACAGGTATCGGCATGAAATGAACAGGGACAAAAGCCTGTGGTGTTACAGTCAAATGCCATTGCTACTGTGTATTTGATGCCCAAGCAAAGACAACACAACTTTGTGCACATTCAGACGAAAACCGGGAAAACGTTCTCGAAAGCCAGTGCTGCAGTTGAGACCTCTTATGACCATCACAAGACCCCACAAAACCATCACAAGACCTCCAGTCTGAAATCAAGTCACAAGCTAGTCAAATGATGAATTACAACCATAAAAATTGTCGTCATTCACCCCGTTACTTGTGACTGGTCTTGTGAAAGGTCTCATGATGGTCTCGACTACAACAATGTTCAAAGCACACATGCTTAGATGACTGCATGTTTGTTGGGTCCCATAAACTGGAGCTCTTACACTGAAGTGGTCACCATTTTCTCTTCCTGTGTGGGGTCATGATGTGAAAAGGTAGTCAGGTGTCCCCTACTAACAACTAACTTTGCAGTTAAACAGCCCGGGGCATACAGTCATGCAGGGTCCACACTGCGGCTACATCCAGATCTCACGGCTGTGGCTAAAATTAACATGTGCGTCTATGGAAGGCACTGGCCAACAGCAGTGCAACTACTTTCTACAGACAAGCGTGTTAATCCTGGCCATGGTAAGTTGACCGGGACACCCGTGACAGCCGTTCTTACCTGTGACAGTGACAACAGCCCTCTCTGATCCACTCACATAGTTGTCTGGCAGATCCCTGAGGGAAATGACCTCTTTGTATGTGTCATCCGGATAATCTGAATAAGGTGGCAAAAAAATCAAAAGTCCAGGGGCATCTGTCACTCTACTGAATTCAGCCTGGTTTGAAGCCTGGATGACAAATATTTATAACTAAGAAGTTTTATTTGTCTGCCTTTTTGTTTTTTTAACATTTATAAGAAACTTTGGCCATTTCATTTCCCTGTTCTAAAACAGAAGAAACAAAAAACTGACAACTGTGAGACTCCCATGAAAAGCACAGACTCACCCTCAGGACAAAAGTAGGCACTGAACACCTGCTCTGTCTCCACTCCTTCTGGCTGGATAATAAATAACACGCCGCAGAAAATTTTACTCTACCCGGCATCCAATGTTGATGTTCACCAAAGTTTAAAATTCTGTACTTGTACATTCAGAGACATTTGATCTCTTGGGATCCATCAGCTTCGTAGAACCAAAATGAAACTTGTAAGCATTGAATTTCAGAGTGTGTTGAAGAGAGAGAGAGATATTATGAGCCTTTACAATCTTCAGTAAACAGGGTTTTTACAATGAACAGAGACAAATGAAAAGAACTTCAAATTTTGGTTCAGTGAAAGTTCACAAATCGTGTTATTTTGCTGATACATCTTTTTTAGCTATGACAAATCAAGTCAATATTTCTTAAGTAATGCAGCAAAAAGAAAAAAAAGAAACAAGTACATCTCTGCTGGACTTTCATCATCTCTCTTCAAAACATTTTCTAAACCAGCTAGGTGCTGCAAATGTGATTTCTTCCTATTCTTGAATTCTACCCGTCACCAGTTACAAAGCTCTACTCCTGTTCATTATTTGTGGCACCAACGGTCAAGCACGCACCTTGACCAGCAGGTGCTTTCGGATGGCGTCAGAGAATCCATTCTGACTGTTGTCCATTTCTTGTCCTCCACACCAGTTGTCGCTATCATCCACTGACACAGCATGGACTGCATTGAAAAAGTTTGGAAACTGGACTCAAATTCTTGATATGCCGCCGCTTAATGTGCGCATGCAGCATGCATGAAAGCAACTTTCTTGCTCAAACTGGCTCTGAAATCTGCGGACATGAAACACGCACCGGTTGCTTCTCCTCACTAGTAAAGCTGGAGCACAGTGGGTCCAGTCTGACTTCAGAGGCTGTTGCTAACAATGTTTACAGTAAAAAGACCACAAGTCTGTATTCTCATTCAATTTTAAATGTGCTGAGAATGAGCTGGCCTTGAAAGCCGCAGCCCTATGTAGCAATTTCCCAGACAGAAACATAAAACAAGGTTCCTTCTAAGAATACAGCTGACTCTGTTGCAAAGAACAAATTCTGAGAATCCCAATTTCTTGAATTCTTGCATTTTTCTTTGTCTTTCCACTCCATTTACCACAATGTCCTGATTACAACAAAGTAATTTGTCAGGTCCCCGTAATTTTGTTGTAATGAGAGTTGACTGTAACTTTTTTCAAATGGGGCATTGTTGGTCACTGCTTCACAATATGGAATGGTTACGTAGTACATGTTGTCACCTTACCTTCAATTTCAATGGTGCCAATTGTGACAGTCTTGATGTAGAAAGATGAGGGGACCGACTGGCCTCCACAGACACAGACGTGCTCCTTGCGGTTCTGCTCCTCAATCTCAAAATCACTGGACGGCTGCAGAGTCAATTCCACCTGTGAAGGCAGGATGATGACATCACGCAAGCGTGCCCATTACATTGCACTTTCAAATGATTTTACAGGAGACGACCCAGGAGAGGACAGCAACATGGGTTAATTCTACCCCCCCCAAAGAAATTTGAAATTCAGAGACGTCTGCTCTCCTAATTTCATTTCAAAACATTCACAATCTTCACCAATATCATTTCGGTCCCCGCGTCCCAAAACATCTGCAGACGGCACAATTTCATCAACAAAGTCCTCACACAAACTATTCAATACATTCTTGAATTTTTGTCTCTTGGACAAGCTCTCAGACTTCGCTGCGCATGCAATGCTTATAAATTACGTCAGTGAAGGTCGGAACGCCATTAAAAATGACTTTTTTGCCAGCAAGTCAATGATTGGTGAGCTAAGAATTCCAAAACAAGTTAATCAACTACTCAGTTGAGGACATAAAAGTGTTTTAAAAAATGTCCACAAAATCAAATATTAACGAACTTTAGAACACTCACCACTAAGCACTTGGTGACATAGTTGAAGACCACCACAGTCATTGGAACATATTCGTTGCGAATGACCGAGTACGGAAGCGACATGTCCACGAAGAACGGCTGGTATGCCCTGAGCCTGGTCAGGTCGGACACCCCGGCCCCGAACCGGGACGAGGTGCAGAAGCCGTGCCCGACCCACTCTGTGATGGTGTGGGGGACCTGGACGGCAATGTCGGCCTGGCCGTCAGAGCTGCAATCAAAGAGTGAAGAAAAAGAGGGGGATACCCAGAGGGCATAGCTGCTTTATTTGGGCTCGGAGGTCAAGTTGCAGAAAGATCAACAGCCTTTAGCGATGAATCAAGATTTACAGATTTGCAGTATTTATTCCCAGTTTTAAGCATGTAATCAGCATCGGTCAGGTACCAGGAGGAGGTGAGTCATCCCAGCCCCTCCCATCCCAACAATCCACCTGCAGATAAAGAGATTTTTTGTTGGTGAATTCCAGTGGTAATGCATCCACTGGAAAGACCTGTGCTCTTGAATTCCCAAATATTTCCCATGCCACACACACACACAAGTGTGTATTTGCCTGCAACTGGGGACCCCCTATTGTTCCTCTTTTGTTTGTACTTTAACTTTGTTAGAAGACCGCCCATATGTTTTGTACACAGTTGTCAATCGGGGACCCTCTGTCAATCGGGGACCTTATTGTCCTTTATTGTTCAGGGTCCCCAATTGAATGCAGAAACAAACTCACACACACAAAATGATGGGCGCATGAGTTCAAGCATCGACAGAATGGTAAAAACAACGGCAGGACTGAGGAGGAAGGGAGGATGCCTGACCTGACTCGCACCAGGCTGTACAACCAGGTCTCTGGGAAGTAGGAACGGACTTCAGGGGCCCCTCCCCTGGCCCCACCAACTTCTGCCATGGCAACGGCTTCCATGGGAGCACTTGCCATTGCTAGCATCGGCATTGCTATGGGAGCGGCCATCCCGTCCTCCATGATCATCTCCTGACGATAATCTGCAAGAAATTCATCAAAAAATGAGCAAGACTTGAACACTTCCCAAATTAACTGTAAAGGGAAAACCGACTAACGAGTGGGGAGCCCTTTTACAAGAGCTAATTTATTCCTCTTACAAAAACTGAGTTATCTGGCCTTACACTATGAACATATCTCTCCCTTAATATCCCTCAATGTACCATTTTACCCCAAACTAGTTTTCTTTTTACGGATATTCACTGGGGGATTATGGGACTAATCCTGCCACAGAGATTTCGCAGGGTTTTAAGACTATGACCCTCTCATGATTACAATCGGCAGACCAATACTCGATGGGCAATTTAACAATCATCTTTTTTCACTAATGACTCAACAAAGGACCTTTCCGGGGGGGGGGCATTTCATGGATGCTAATTAAATGGGTTTAAAAATCTGTAAAAAGAAAAACAGTTTAGATAAATTTACTGCAAAATGGTAAAAGGTATGTTCATTGTGGTATTATGTCGATGGTTCTTCCCACATGTTTGTTCAGGTTTGTTCAGGGTACTTGTCAGAAACCATAAACTCATTTGCCACGTAGGAAAGAGGAAACATCAGCAACGACGTAAATCTCCAAATTCCGAACAGAGATCATCACCAGCATCGCTTTCGCCATTAAAAACTGTATTATTCCTTTGAAAATCCATCTTTGAAATAGTCGTCCACGGTACCCGCTGCTACATATGATTCAAACCAGCCAGCTGACCCCGGCAAGCTCGGTGGTCAAGACATCTGCACTAGTAAGCAGGAGGTTGTGGGTTCGAGTTTCACCAGAGTACATGTGGTTTTTCACAAGCCTTCGGGGGCATACACTGAGTATTCAGTGTTAAAATACACGTCGGGCAGGGCCAAAAAAAAATTCAAAAATTTATTTACATTTTCCCGGAGCAAATCTATCTTTAAAATAGTGTGTTATTCCTGTTTCACAATTATATTTACTGCAGAAATGACTGCAAAGATGCAAAATAATTGGCCAGTGAAAGGCACTTACATATAGGGTACATGTCCCGACAAGGCGCTGTCTCCACTTTGAGGTTTGTCAGGTATACCACACCCAGATCCTAGTGTTGGGATTAAAAGACATGGGGATGTTAGTGTCGTCAGAAATGTTAAACACACTCCAATTCAAGTGCATTTTGCTGCAAATGTTGCAGGACGTCAAAGTCACTTCGCATTTGAGATTGCCTGGAGTGTGAACCGGCTTTGAGTCTTGAAAGTAAAGAGACTTCTACATTATTTGCTGAACAGGTGGAATTCTTGGAGAACCTTCCTTTCTGTCACCTGTTTAATTCAACTCGCCCATGTTTACTTGGTGGGTTGAGGACCGGAACAAGAGAGAGTCAGACATTTTTTACCTTGAACGACTGTGATGCGTCCTGCTCACTCGGTCCAGGGGCAAAGCCTCCAAAGAAGGATCTTCCATACCCTCCTCCGCCCTGGCACTTCTTGCTGTAAGGCTCGGCAGAGCCCCCCTCGGCTGACAGCTGTAGGTCCTCAAGCACTTTGAAGACCTGGAGGCAGGGATAAGGCCATCAGTGTGACCATTCCTACTGCTTGTGAGATCACAGTGCTGACAGAATAAGGCTGTGTCAGAAGTGCACATTTTGCGGCTACAGCTCCACTATTTGCCATTGGCATTACACACTAAATAGCCGTAGTCACAGGCAACAATGTCCCTTGTGGACGCACCCCACGCCAGTTCGGTATTTAATTGTTTACATGAGCACCTCAAGGTTTGACACTTTAAATTTCAGGACGAACAATCTGCCACACACATGCAAAGTTAGTGGAAACTGACAAAATTGACCAAAGGTCCATGTTTCGTTTTACCAAATACAAAAAAAAAAAGATCTGCAATATTGTTATGCTTTAGACTCTGTGCAAATGGCATTTCTGTCTTTTCTCAATGACTGCGTCAAAGCCTTACAGTCTGCAGATTTGGTCTCCGTCACTCCAGTACACCTGTGTAAATTTGTCCCCTGTGCTCATCCAATATGGCAAATCTTACTGTACACATGCACAGTTGGAATAAGGGTACCAAACGGGCATTGAAGTTACCTGACACATACAAAATCGTTAGGGCTAAGCAGTGCAGGACCGAATTAAAGATAACTCTGGTACCAAATTACAGGTGGAACCTCTTTTCATTAACTCTCTTCTTTTCTTGAAGCCTTCAGTCCTCCAGCTAGTGAAGGTTTGTATAAGGACTGTTAGAGTTAGCAACTTTATAGTGTCAGGACCTATAGTCCATGTCCACTAATTGACCAAATGACAAACTATCTGCTATATTCCAAACATTGTTTCAGAACCTAAAGTCTTTACCCATCAATGTCTCAAACCGATCAATTAGGCCATCCGCTGTGGACATCACAGAAGCCAACCCCCAAGCTAATCACTTGCTCTACATATGTCACCCTGCTGATTTTACTCAGTACTGAAATAGCATTTTAAAAACAAAAAAAACAACCCACTGACTGACCTTTTCTTTAGTGATGCGGTTGTCACCCCCAAGCAGGTGCACGCTCTTGTCCACGACCCCATAGGCACACAGAGAGGAAGGCTTGGCCTCAATGTTGACGGTGGTGTTTTGGCCCGGCTGCTTCTCAAGATCAGCAAACTTGACTGCCACCTATGAGTCAGGATTCAGGGAAAAAACAATGAGGGCTTAGTTCTGCAAGGTTAAGATCTTACATTTTATAATCTGCTGTCAGCAGCACTGAGTTCAGTTAATTCCCCCACGATGGGAAAGTTCGAGCGATGACTATAGTTGACTATAGACCGACTAGCAGCGCTCGGTGTACGGTCAGACATGTCTAGTCGACCATTTGGGACCAGGTTCAGGGGTATGGTCGCACCGCTAGTTACCAATAACATATTTCATGGATCACTACAGAGGAAAATATTCACATGAAAATAATTGTACGAGATTTCAGTGACCTTGTTTGCTACGGGAATCGCAGCGTACACTGAAATTTGAGTAACAATGAGCTTTTTTTTAAAAAGGCCGACTGGGGTCATTCCAATGTAACTTAATACTGCATGTCCATTGTTAATAGCCACTGACTAGTGGCCTAACTATGGTTCAGGCCCGAACTTGCCCAATGACTGGTGCTGGTAAAACTGTGATAGATTTAGCACTCATGTGACTTCTCGTGCTGTCTAATGTAACTTCTTGAGCCACGACCCAGGCAGGCAACTTGGACTTTGACAAAAAAAACGAGGGAATTCCATATCTTTACAAGGCTTTGTACAGCCTTTTTCAATTATCGATGACATGAGCGTGAAGATAGAAACGCGAAAATCGGCTGGTCCGAGGAAAAGTCACGTGCTTGCGGACCAAATATCCTACACATTGAACCAGTTAATTGGGTAAGTGTCCCACAACACAAGGCAAAATATGGTGACTAGGCCTAATCAACGCAGCGGAGGAAAGTCAACACAGTTCTGTAGGCTGCATTAAAGCTGATTAAGTTGAAGAAGTTCAGTGTGAGGAAAGTGAATGCAGGTATAGATGTCCGTTGCTTTTAACAGACTCATTCTGCAAATGTTCATTGCCACGTGACCTCCTGATGTGGTCTCCCTGCTGTTGCTCTACCCTGAGAATCCTGAGACCATTCATCCATTAACCCGTACAGTCCCAAATCCTCCAATTTCAATACAATTTTACATACACCCTAGGGGATTAGGGTTAATACCTATATGCGGTGCCCATGCCCGAGACAACACAGCACGGGTACACCTGTAGGTGTCGGAGAAGTAGTGAAATGCAATGCAAGTATATCTGTGATGTAATTTTTTCATACGAATGTTGGCATAGGGCCATCATTGTGACCTCAAGATTACAATGCTTGTCGTCACATTCTTGGACACGGTGAATTGCTTCGAATGCATATTACAGCAAGCAGGTCATGGATATTGACAAAGCACTACATTTCATAATACATTTCAAATGGACATTTATAGCCATCTGCATCCATATTCCTGGCTTCACAGTGATAAATGCAGAGAGATATGGAGGTAACCTGGGCTTAGAATTTCTCCCAAAGGAAGGAAGTTCCTTCGGACCTGGTTTTGAAAGACTTCCTCGACGGGTATGGTCACGGTGTCGGCGACCACCTCTCCGTCGTCCCGGATGTAATAGGCCATGACGGTGACAGCGGGCGACATCTCGTAGGACACCTTGAACCGACGGCGGGTGGTCTTCACCTTGCCTTTCTCCAGGATGTGGATGGGGATATCACTGGGTAGCATGTGGAGGCTGTGGGCATATTCTGTCAAAAGAGCAACCAAAAAAAAATGCCGTCCAATCATACCGGAAATGAACCATATTCTAACAATTTGTGTCCTTCCTGAGTTACCCAAGGAGAACATGTTTAATTTTGTTTATGAAGGCAAATTGAGTTTAAAATGCACAGGAATTGACTGCCCTACTTCAGAGGACTGGCATATTGCTGAAGTTTTAACCAGAAGTGGAAACTGCCCTTCTCCTCCCATAAGAAATGGTCTCCTTCATCCTGTTTGCTATTTTAATCGCAAGCCATTACAACTTTAAAGATGGTTGAAAATCTAATTGCTTATCAAGTGTTTTCCATCACTTGGCATTGTCCACATTAAAGTAATTACACTGACACATATACACAAGGGGTTGATTTGAGGTCATGTTCTTCAAACTCATGTTTCAGTCAGGTATTAATGAAATTGAAAGCCCAACTCAATCCTCAATACCTTTCATGCCCATTTCATCCGTTTTGACAGGATAGATCCCATACTGGCCAGGCCGGTGAAATGCATCGATTTCTTCAGGTGGAATAATGGAATGCACGTCTAGGATAATGTTGCCTCGTGCCATCATCTGGGTGACGAAGATGTAGGGAAAAGGTAAGCAAGAATTCTGAATATGTTTCCTCTAAAATTTTGATACAACTGCATCGATTCCGAGCATCATATTAGATCTTTAAATGGAAGAAATGCCACTGCAGTAGTAATTTGCTGTAATACAAACAGACATTGTGCAAAATGTTTAAACACGGTGAGGCAGAATTGCACACATTTATAGCAGCTTGCGAGGAGATGATCTGATTACAGGAATACTTTGAAAATAATGTCAAAGCGTGCATCAGTACCAGTAATCACAAACAAAGGACACAGAGGTTTCACACTGACCAGGGTGTGAAGATGGACCCCGTTGTACTCGGGCTCTTGGCTGGTCATCCGGATAGTCAGGGTCTGGTAGGAGTCAACCTCTGCTCTCTCGTCAACCGGGTCAATGTGGATGAAACTCTTGGACGGGGAGAACTGGGCCTTCACATGACCGTAGGTGTGAGAGGTGCTCTGCGGGTCGGAGCCCAGTGAGCTGGCCTGCAACGGGGTCATGTGACAAATTTAAAGGAACATTATATACCTTTCATTCATAATTTATATCATTGACAGACGCTGTAAAATTTGAATGGTATTTTGGTTCATTTTCAGCAAAAATATCACCGACAGTGGTGATGAATCGCCTGACCTAAATATCTTAAGCAGAAGCGGGAGAACAGACACGCAGGGGCCGTTTTACCCCCTTGCACTTCTGTCCCACACCTTACAAATATTTTTTACAGTTATTATAGTTATTTTTTTTCCTTGGATTTTTAGAACCAACATCTACATAGGGTGTTAGTATGAAATTTCTGTTCTGAGCCCAGTTGGCAAAAACATTCGCGATGGTATGAGTCATTTCATTTGTGTAATTTCAGTCAGTCATGCAGTTAAAATGATCCTGATAGAGAATTGAAAATCAGATGATGAAATGATTGCTCCAAGGACACTTTATTGCCACTCAGACTTTTGCCCACAAATTTTGTTATTACTGCTGCAAATGATCTCATTCATTAACAAAATATCTGTGTCCATCAACCAAGAAATACATGAAATTCGGGCACAGCTATTTATTTTCAAGTTAAAATAAGCTAAACAATGTGTCAGAGCCCAACATTTCTTTGGCCAGCCCCTAGGCTTGCCTGCAGAGAGATGTAGTCGGCATCCTGTGGCACATCTGGGATGGTGAAGAAGGCTATCCCCCTGTCATTGCTGATCACGATCTTCCTCAGCAGGTCCTCGGGCTGGCCCGCCTGGGCGATGACTTCGCCTGTTTCCCCAGCCAGCGGCTTGCCGCTCGGGTCATTGAACAGAAGCTGAAAAACGTCGGGACAGAAATCAACCAGGGAAACTGGTAAGGGTGTCGAGCTCATTCATCCAAACTACTGAGACATTTTCTTGGCAGGAAACTTCCTCAATAACCTGTCTCTTTTTTCATCACGTTTTGCCTACCAATAGCCAGTTAACTATGACTGAGCCTCAACAGTACGAAAGCAAAAGAATAGTTTTTGCCCTGTAACATGTCCTACTCAGCACATCTGTAACATTAAGCCCTAGTTTATAGATCTAACTTGGTTTGGGACTTTGAGGGTGGACAGTTAATATTTGGTCCCTGAGGTATTCAGAATGTCATTCAGTTTGTCAACTTTCAATTCAATAGACTACTCAACCAAAATAAACCATATTATATTTTTTTACACCTAATATATAATAAGTTCACCTCTGTGAAATAGAAACACAACCAGTTCAGCATAAGGCTGGTTAACAGTTACATCTGCTACCATACTTCACCCGTACAACAGTTCCTCAACTGCTTCATGAACCTTACACTAGTTCATTTGCGCATACAGTGGAACACCGCTATACCAAACATTCGGCTGTACTGAACATCACGCAAAACATCACGAAAACAGCGAATCATAGTATCACAAAAGAGGTTGCACTTCAGTTAGACAAGAGAGGGCGCTATTCAACATGGCAACGAAACATTCAGCAGTTGATTTCGCTATACCGAACGACCGCTGTACCGAACATTTAGCGTGGACCCTGTCGTGGTTGTTATAGTGGCGTTCCACTGTACGTATTTACTGACCATGCCCGAGAATGGAAGACCTGGCTTGAAGGTGGAGGGAACAGAGAACTTGAGCTCAAATGGCCTCTGGCTGATCACAATATCATCCACAGTCTTCTCAATCACAGTGCCTTTGGATGAGAAAGAAAACGTCAAACTTCCTTACGGAAACAGCAACTGCCCGAAAATATCTTACTTGAGGGGGCAGTTTGTTTACTTCTGAGAGAGAAATGTTGGTGATGACTAGCCTGCTCATGATCTCAAATAGTGAAGGACACACTGTGTCCATACTGGTTTGCATTTGTAAATGGTGGAGAGTACTCACAGGTAACTTTCAACAGCATGTGCACAAAATAGATGATTTTGATAAGAGGTTTGCAACAGACAGGGGCAATGGGACCAAAGTGTTCTAACAAAGAAGTATGAAATATCAGTTGAAATCCTGAAGTAGCTAATAAGAGTGAGAAACTTCAACCTTCTCAATGTCCGATGTTCCTATCACTTCAAAAGAGTTTGGAACTGTGATTTGGAGTTGTCAACTTTCCCTTTACTAAGGTCACAACCCGGAATGAGCGAGAGGACAGTCAACAAAGAAAGCTTATCCCTTTTAATCTATCATTTGTGCCCATTTTCTTTTATGATGAACACCAATCCAGAGCAGCACCAAGGGCAATGTTAGTGATCTCTTTATTACGTGTTGCAGCCTCTTCAAACTCGGCTCTGATGGTCAGTTTGGTGTAGTGGGGGTTGATATAACCAACTTGTTTCCACTGAAGCTCGGACAAGTCGACTTCAAAGACATGGCAGCCATAAATGTTAGTGTTCTGAATGACAAAGGGGAAAAGGGATCCATTCTCTTTAGAAGCAGGTACATACATTGATCTGAGTAAAGCTTTGAAACAATTTCCAGACCAACTGAATAGGCTAAAGAAGATTTTGTTTAGTCCGAAATAATTTAGAGGCCGACATGATTGGTTACTTCTCTCTTACCCTAGCAAATTGGTCCATTGCTACATTTTTATTGGATGATACAGAGATGTGAAGTTTGATTGAGCCACTAACGGGCTGGCCGTGGGTGTATCTGTCAAGAAAAAGGGGGAGGGAATTTATGAAGTAAAGAATTTAAAAAAAAAAACAAACACAAACAACCCCCCCCAAAAGAAACTGCCTTTGTTTAATGCAAGACTTCTGATCCAAGATGCAAAAGGGTCACAACCACTGTTCTAAATGGTCTTCAAACAGTTTGCTGTTTTTTTACGAACTTTTCCAAATTATCCAGTAACTATAATTTACTCAGAAAAACAGGATGGAATGTTGAAAGATGACACGGCTGCATTCTTTCTTACATTACTAATATGAGAATAATTCAAATAGTGCAAACGTAGATTTTACAATTATAAGTTGCAAAGATGCAATTCTGCACATGTGCAGCAAAGGAAAGCGGGGAAAAAAAACAATCAAATCAATCGTAAGAAAATATGCTGGCAAACAAGATTTTGTATTTGGTTGGCCTTACTTGCCGCAAACGGTGATTTCTTCCTCGCCACCAGGGACTACCACATAATCCGGCCCTTTGATCATGACTTCAAACTTGGGTAGCACTGCCGCACAGAAACAGAGGAGAGAGACAAACACAAGATTAACAAAAAATTAAAAGTTTCACAGAAAAAATTATGCTTTGTGGCAAATATACACATCATCAGACTACTTCAACCCATTGGGTAACTGGAATGAACTACCGGTATTTTTGCCAACTCAGACGGCACACAATGAAGATCCAAACGGACAGTTTTCGATGCAATTGTGCAGTGAACTGTTGAAATCCATGGCAAGTTTTCACATCATACTCGAGATGTGGCTATTTTGTCTCCTGAACGCTAAAATTCTCAGATGACTAAATGAAGCAGGCTCAACCATACACCAGGACCTGGGTCCAAATGGCCAACTAGACTGTCAAAATTATTGTTCAGGACACTGTGCTCAAATTTGCCCCCAAATGGGGTGGTACCACGCATGCTTCCTTTCACTTGAGACACGCGTGCATTTAGCAAGTTGCAGCACTCTATATTGGTCAAAGAGGTATTCCACAAATTATGCAAACCACCCGTGTGTTGAGCGTGATGCTGCTGCAGTCATCACGGCTTCTGAAGGGTGCGACTGTGTATGACGGCCATTGTAAAAGTCTGGTCCCCAGATTCAGACGAGCCAACAAACAGATTTTCTCCGATGGAATATTACCGGGACGTCATGAAAATACGCGTAGGAATTTACTGTCCATACCATATTCGCCGACCTTGAAGGTCTGCGTGAATTCTCGGTCGTGATGGCGGACCTTGATCCTCCAGTCTCCCATGGGTGGGTCCGTGGACATGGGCATGGACAGGTCAATCAGGCCATCATTGGTCTTGACAGCCAGCCACTGGGCCATGTGGATGCCAGAGGGGGACTCGATCCAGATTTTGGAGACCTTCAGGGAGAGCAGCAATTGAAAGCACTTCAGGTAAAATCTATTTCAATTGATTTATAACACAACAGTGAAATTGCAGTTAGATTAAATAAGGTCGTCTTCTTAACACGGGCAGATTTATACACTGATTCTTGCCCACATCTCTTGATTCAACCAATCTGGGCTTTAAATCTGGGTAGAACTTTCAATTCAAGTCTCAGTCTGACTCGGTTTATTTGTTTGAAATTTTTCTCTCATTTCCACAACTTTACGTTTCTCCACCGTCTTCCACATACAGACACCACACTCACACTCCCGTGCATCTGGCAAGTAACAGCTTCCTATTGGTCTAGGAGTCATGTGATGTGCACGCGCCACCTACCCACAAGCACCGTGCTGCCACAGTAGCTGTTTCTAACTCGTGGTGAATTGCCCTCGGACTCGTGAGTTCTCCATGCCACGGTCACTTCTGACAAATGCTCATGGGTTTCACAAGGCTGTCACTACGATATTTTTCACAGAATGCCAAAGCGCAAGCCCAGGTGATCACATACTTAAAGAATGCAACTCAGGGAAAAAATGTGTATTTTTCTTTTGAATAATAACAGCACTGGGACAGATTCAAATTATTTTTAAAAAGGCACAATGGCAGATTGAAAACATTGAAGAAACACTTTTAGAATACTGTGATAGATTGTAATAGATTGTAATAGCGCTTGATCATATCACATGGTACATGGACTTAAGACCTGATTATACGACGGGACTTACCTCACTCATGTCAGGCCTCAGGTCCGACAGCAATGTTAGGACTCTGAATTGCACTGAAACAAACAAGGGGGTAAAAAAAGAGTAGTACCGAAAAAACCTACGTTAAAGGGATTCAAACCTAAAACTAACAACAAGAGCTCCGTCCAAGTTTTGTGATAACATCTACATGCACGTCTAGGTCTTTGCCCGTTGAAAATATATGCCGTACCATGCTGGCCTGGTTTATAGATGGGCTTGTCCGTCTCAATGAAGGTCTCCGAGTTGCAGGCGTCCAGGTAGACCTTGATACTGTCCACGATTTCAAACTCCTCACACTGCATCAAGGTCCTCTTGGCGTACATGACCAGGGTGACGGTCATCCTGGGCTTGTCAATGGGAGGCAGCTATTGGAAGGAAGAAAGGGGCCACGTTACAGCAAGCGTCGGCAGGAATGGCTACTGCACAATGGCAGATATCATTTCTAAAAATTCACATCTGTTCAATAAGGTACGAAACAAACCATATAGGTAAAACTGAATAGAAGCTAATATACTGTCAAGATGAACAAAGGCATTGACAGGAGTAGCATGTGAACCTGGGACCTCCAGAACACCACACTGACATCCTACCAACTGAGCTACCAAAACCATGGTCCTTCCCATGGGTCAATGTCTTTGTTAAGGGGGCACAAATAAGAAGCCATAAAACCCCAAAACCATACAGCTATAGACCCCACCTCAAATACACGATATAATGTGGGAAGTCAATTTCTTTGTTCATCTTTACTACACATTATGAGCACAAATCAGCAGTTTATGGCTCAAGGCACTCTGCTTGTGTTTCTGGAAGTGCAGACAGCCACCATGAAGACCACGTGTTTTAGAATCAAAAGCTTTCTGCATGTTTTAAAACAAAGTGCACGAGAGAAATCATCTATGTATATGAAAGTGAGTCATCCTGGCCTGTAAGTATCATTCAACTATTTCACTGACTGATGTATTTATAACTTGGTTATCTTTTTTAATGTGATTGATAGAAAACCATTCTGTGAAAATACAGGCTATCTGTCAGAAAGGCGCGCAGAGAATGGCTAAAACTGTTAATGGGTAATTCCAGAAATTACGGATCCAAAAGTGTGACATTTTCGTGTCCCTGTTACATCTGACCTTTGTTATTTGACACGAAAATATTACGGGAATTGATTTCAAACTGTTACTATTTGTTTGGCAGTTAATTTGCATTAATTCATAACTCTTAGAAATTATAAAATGTGTTCTGAACTTACAAAATCACGTCAGATGTGACAGGGACACACCCCTAATTTCTGGAATTATCCTAATCCAAATTTGAAGTTTTAAACTTTTTAACTGAAACTTTCTTTCTGAAAAATATCCTCAAGAAGGCTGCTTCTTTATTATTTGAAAATTAACAAACAAAAACTACTTCTAGATAAATCAAACCCATGATCAAACAAAAGGTGCTTACACAATCTAAGAAATGATTGAAAACAGGAGGTGCTATGTTTATCAATTTTGATGATATGCTTTCAATCTCGAACTCCTTTTTTTATCAACTAATGGCTGAAGATCAAGAATGTGCCATGCAGGTTTACCACTGAGTGGTGCATTTCCCACATTGTAGTACACTTCCTAACACCAAAATACCAAGAGAGCCGAGGTCAAGACTACAAACAACACTGAACAGTTTCACAGCTGTGGGGAAAACTTACGTCAATCTCCACACATCCGCAGGGTGTTGTGATGACTTTGAGCGGAGTGACGACCAGGGACACCTCGTCATTCTCCATGACCGCAAACTGCACGTCCACGGGCTGCGAGAAGTTGACAAAGGTGATGAAAACCCTCTCCTGGCTGTTGGCACACAAGATCTTGGGCGCCATGGCCAGATACCCCGCACCAAAGGCACTGATGAGACAAAAAAATGGGGGGGGGATTTAAACGATGGGTTAGGGTGTGCGTGTGATGTTACCACGCATGTCATTAAAGTGCTTATTTTCTCCGGTTACTATGTATGCAAAGCATACATGTATATGGTATCAACAGCTCAGAACTAACACTTAATATGCATGTGAAAAAGACCAGGTAAAAATGTTATTTAGCAATAAAAAGCACGACCAAGCCTACTGGAATCTATATCACTGGAGGATATAGAGATATTAAACAAATGATAGAATGAAATTCTTAGGATTATATAGGCCCCTAGATGACCACTTAAATTGGAATACACATGTCAGTCATATTTCTACAGTTATTTCAAGAACCTGGATTATCTCAAAGTTAAAATTGATCTCTTTCATCAATGTTATACAATACCTTATATAACCGTATATTACCTGAACATATGGGATTCTTACATGGCGTAATAGTAGTAGTGGTCATCTTAATCAAATCTTCAAATTACAGAAAAAAAGTTCCAATTATCATGAATTCTCTCTTTTACAGTTCTAAGGTTTCAAAAGTTCATGATATTTGTTACCTTCACCTGGGCTAGTGCGCTGGCTCAATACGAAATTGGCTTAAATCAATTTTTTCATTGTTCACAACAAATTATTTTACACTAAACGTCATGAATTTCACAGGTATCATGCACGGACTGCATTTCTCTAAAGCTACAGTGAAACATGAGGGGCCAAAGCTGTGGAGCTCAATTGGTAATTTATTGAAAAAAAATTGCCAGTTCCTCTATGTTGAAGCATGAAATCTAAATTATCAAATAACTATTTTATCTAATAATTAAGTTATCACAGGGTTACAGCCTATATGTTACTGAGTGAGGGACCATGAAGGGCCAACGCTGTGGAGCTCAATTGGTAACTTATTGAAAAAAAATTGCCAGGTCCTCTATGTTGAAGCATAAAATCTAAATTATCAAATAAGTTTTTTATCTAATAATTAAGTTATCACAGCTAGGGTTACAGCTTATATGTTACTGAGTGTAGATCCTTTTATTTTTGTGTACTTTATTTTTTCTAGTTAATTTCTAACAATGTTTGTTATTGTCATGAATGTCTATGGGGCCTCCACTCAACAAGCAATGCTTCTTGGCAGTCTCCATCCATCAACTAAATGTATACCATTGTTGTCTCTTTATATTGTATGGAAATAAAGTGAAGTAAGTAAATTTGCACAAATGAATGAGTTTGTACATGACAGGACAACTCACCGTCTGAAGGCCACTTCATTTCATTCTTTCATGTTGAAATGTGTTTAACTTATGCAAATTTGAAGCATGAACATTTGATCTGGTGCCATAATTTTGTATTCATGTTCCCTTTTGCACCAAGTATGCCTTTAGGTTAGTCAGCTATACGCATGTAACACAGGACACACCAAATTCCTACCCAAAAGGCGAGTATAATTCATATCACATGAGACCAACCTTTTAGCCCATAGGAAAGGATGCTAATGTTAGTTTGGATCATAATTTTCAAGAACCATAAAGCCAACAGCTCCATACCCGACTGTGTCCCTTGCTTTCAAAATTAAATTTTAAAACTTTTATTTATTTATTATTTTTTTTAATTTAATGTTGCTTGCGAAAGACATGTTGTTAGGTCACAACAAATCAAAGTAAACTCTACCTACCACACTTGTTAGATTGGTAAGCAACACAGGCCTAACATTCATCTTGGAAAGTTTCAACTCTGGTTCTGAAGCAAGCTAAAACAAGTCTTAAAAGTGCCTAAAGTTCGCTACTAGGTAAAGGCAACGAGTTTTACGGTCAAGATTTTTCATTTCTACACTGATGATGTGGGTGTGACTTTTAGTATTGCACGAGTTTTATATCAAGTACGTACCAAATTCCGCCTTTCAACCAACAGAGGGCGTTACTCAACATTTGTGGGCGGGAATGACACTTCACGACCGCGCACCATTGGATCTCCTCCGTACCCGTCCACGTCCCCAGGCCTCAGCCGGAGGATCCTACTTGTAAGCTCATGTTTCTGCTGCAGGAATGTTCGGTTGTCTAATGTGACTCATTACGGCAGATTTTGGAGTATTTTCTTTCAGTTTAAACATAAAGAGATCTAAACTGACGGTCCAACCAGGACGAAAACGAATGTAGGCAAAAATGACACACTACCGCTTCCGTTGTGGGATGAAATAACGCCCTTGATTCTTTTGATCGGGCAGTGATACCTTGTAGTACCATGTCAGTAATTTTTAATCTAGCAGTTGAATCTGTGTGTGCTTTTACAATGGAGGGTACTAAAAAATTTAAAGCTGATGAGGCTGTCAGAACAAGTTGACCGTCCTTTTACATTTTATGAATTAACTTCAAAGACTTCTTGTTGGAACCTTAATGGTCAAGCCACTTAAAAAGTCACTTTTTAATTTCGATGTAACATTAAAATAAAGTATTTCAAACAAGCCATATTTCAGTGTAAATGCTGTGTAAAAGTTCCAAAATATAACAATTTGTATAGACATTTTCAGTGACCATCGCCATCACTGGTTTTGCAGTGACCCCCTTTCATAGCGATACACAGAGAAAGCTATATTATAATATGGAGCCACTGTTTCGTTACAGCACCCAACGCAATTGTTTTAACGCCATTAAAGGGGGCCATTAGCAGTGTCCAGTGAAACTTTAGTGGATTCGTCTATAGGTAGGCCAACACCGCTAGTGGAAAAGATCATAATTTAGCAAAATAAAATAGTAAATTTTATATAGTGTCAAAAAATACTCCAAGAATACCAAATTCTGCAGATAAAAGTACATAATTTTTCCCCACCGATTTCGAATTTCCTTCAGTTTTTCCTGCGCCACTTTCTCGTCGACTAGGTGGTCTTCCTCTTTCTGGACTTCGGGAGGCTCCTTGTTTGGAACAAACGGTTCTGCCACAAACTCTTGCTGTCCCGCGCACAGACGAGGCACATACACGCCAAGAATCGCCACAAATGCCGCCAGAAAGACACAGAAACGCCCCGGCACCACGGCCCGGCCGTCCGGTCTCATTGTAACTTCTTTTAGAAGCGTGGTCCAATAAATTCTCTGTACAAATCTTCCCAAATAGACTCTGTTTTTGTCGTCCTACGAGGTTCTACGATGTTGGAAATAGAGTAATTCCCTGTGTTGTTTTTCTGCCGGCCAGAGGAATTATGCGTTAGCATAGCTTTTGAAGGCTTTGTAAAAAGTATTGATCGGTCTATTATTACCTTGAATACATTGTTCATTTAACAATAGCCTGCTTTAATTCGATCAATTATTGCCAATTTCACATTTTTCAACACATTACCATTAAGTAAACATGATGGGGTCATATCAAATATCGAAAATCGTGCCGAGAGGATTAAAGTGTAGTCGGATTTTGAGAAGGACGTTACCAGGATTAACGGCCCAAACCAGACGAGTGGGCCGCAAACAGGCGTCTCTTTTTCCAATCATATACCTAAAAAAAAGTCTGTCCCACGGTACAATGACGTATCCATTGTTCTGCTTCAACAGGTGTTCACGAACCTGTAAACACCAAAACAAACCCAATTGTAGATATCGATCAATCTGACCATAGAGAAAGGACATAGATGATTTGACATTGCTTATTCTATTGTTGTGAGGGTACTGCCGCTAATTCGTGTAGGCCTATAGTAACGCGCGCAAAATACAGGACATTGAGGGCGTGTACCTGGACGGCCAGAAGGTTGGCACGTTCACATTTCTGGGCTTCTTGATTGATTGAGAGTTAGCGAGTACGTGACAAGGAAGGCAGCCCGATGGCAACTGCATTTCACAATTTAACGTGTGAACGAAGAGACCTCGTACTATCGGGCCTATGAACGACTAAGTCACGTTCTGGCCAACATGCGCCTTTTCACAGTTTTGCTTGTAAAACAAAAAACTTTTCAATAAAACGAAACAAAACAGTTAAACCTTTCCTGGTGTTAGACTCTAGACATCGAAAGAATACTCTTTTCAGAAAAAGATCTAGTTTACTAACATTCTTTCGTTTATCCTGACAGGATCTCCCTCGAGGCATTCGATCCACAGAAAATGTGATAGTGGGTTCTTCACTTCCTACGAACACTTCTACACAACACAAAACATACGCACGCACGTTTGTACGGCGTTTTAATGCTGCCACGACTAAATGTTTTGAAATGACGTTTTTAAGACAAAAAATGTACATTTTTTCTGCATCATAATTTTAAACAAAACGGGATTTCATCAAAGACAAACCTGACAAGATATGCTAACAAAAAAGTATTCGTGAGTCAAGACCTCACGATTTTTTTAATACGCACCAAAGGCAGTTGCAAAACAAGTAAGAACAGCGCATTTAACATTCATAGACCCGTATGTGGCTTAGTACCCTTAAAAAAAACCCCACATCTTGGGTATACCGTATACTATCTGTGCAACTTTTCCTTTTGTTTATAGATTGAACTAAGTTGAACTTCGGACCCTCCTCGGACAAGAATAAATAACGCACGGCTGCATAAGTCACACACACAAAAAAGAGAGATCACAGTTTTTAAGGCTACAGTTCCTGCACAGAGTTTGTGGTTGTCGAGGCCTTGACGCATTCAGAAAGAAAAACTGTTTCCAGGGGTATAATAGAGAATGTTATCAAAGCACCAAGCATCAATTGAAACGTGCATCTCCTGGTAATAAGGTTGGTGGGCTCGTGGTAACAAGGTTGCTGGGGTGAGCCAAGCAACTTTTATATATTCAGAAATGTATTGTAAGAAGGCTAGAAAAACGAGCAAAAATACGAGAAATCAAAACGGGTGGGACGATACAATTTACCCTGTTTAACAACATATTATTACAGGATTGCTCTTTGCATGGGCATCGCAGGGGGCCAGAAAAAAAATGAAAGGTAAAAATGACAAAAAAAGGAAAAGAGAAAATGTCAATTTACTTGAAAACAACTTTGAATTGACCTTTTTCCAATTATTAATGGTATACTACCCCCCTCCCCCCAAAAAAACATGATAACACCTATGGTTCTACTGACATGAGTCACCTACACATAATGTAATCTTCATCTGACCTGGAGGCATACAATATTGACTGCAACGTTGTTATTCTTTGTGAAATTTACATTTCTTCAAACTGACATTATGCATTTACTCCGAGTAACACCCTCTGATTAAGTAAATTCATTAAAAAAAATACTTCCAGGTAACCCAATGGTCTTTTAATAAATAATAAAGAAAAAGAAGAAGAGATGTAGGTTCTAGAGAGACCCGTTATCCATACTGCAGGTAAAACGACTGTCAGTGTGAAGAGACAGTGCTCTGCGGAACTCATGGGAGCTCAGAACATGCCACTGGTGAGCACTGCCTTGTGAGACCGAATGGCGTAAAGTGCATACCAGAAAAGAATGGCATATTGGGGGTCAATCATTAAAGAAAATGAATTCCTTATTGATTGATTCCATAAATTCATTTGAAGTTGGAATATGTCACTGTTCAGTCGCTATCTGATAGACACTACATTCAATAAGGTGCTTTTCGTGCAGAAAATACTTTTTTCAGTAAGCATATCAAATTTTCTCCTGAACCACAGTATATATGCATTGTATTTAATCCATTTCATGCACCACTTTGAAAATTATAACAACAAAAATAAAACAACTTAAGTTGAGTCAGAGGTGATTCCTGTCCATAAGAGGCTTAGTGTTTAGCTTCTCTTGCTTTGAAAAATGCAGATCATTAATTCATCGTGTGCCTGGAAGGACATAAATGCTTACGCCCTTTAGCCGGGAAGCATGATCACTGCCAAAAAAAAAATTGTTTCCCGGTAAAACGACGTAAGCATGCAACTGTTTTATTTTAACAAAACACAAAGATTTCTTTGCAACAAGTTAAAAACTCATTCAACAATTTGTTCAAAGGTTGTTGTTTGTACAACCTGTGTTGATTTTGTAGTAAATTTTATCCGTTTTTATTAAATGGAGTGTGTTTCTTACGCCACTTTTGTAGTGAACACTTTTTCTGCTGTGATCATGCTTCCCAGCAAAAGCGTGCAAGTGCGCTTATGACCATTTGCCGGGCACATGACGAATTATTTTCCCTGAATTAGTTTGACTGAGGCATGACCTGATAACCCCCACCAAGGTAATGGTACCGCCAATATGTGCCATATTTCATGTGGCAAGATACTCCAAGCACCCGTACTATTGCACATCAAAGGGGTGGAAATGTGTTAGGAAGGGGGGAGGGGCAGTGGTTGATGTCAGTGCCCTGTGGGTTTGCGGAGTCCCTTCTTTGCCGCCTTGAGTATTTGCCCGTCCAGTTTCCCTGACCATTGGAAAACAAACAAAACATTATTTTGCAGGGGTATCAACAAATTACCGTATCATTTGATCAAAAGTTAACCACTTCCTGCCGGGGATTCTGGTTTTGGACACGTACGCTTTATATGCAGGGCTGGGGTCTCTGAAATCGGACAAAGGGAACAGGGCCTTGTAACAAAAGACCGTACTCAGAACAAAAGACCAGGCTGCTGGGCATTACCAACATTTTTCACTCTCAAAATTGGAGATAATCCAGCCTTGTTTTGAAACAGTATACCACGGTTTGGGGCATTTAGAGTGAGCAGATTACCATCGGGACAAAACAGTATCACCACCGCAGCAATTAGCCACACAGCACTGCTGCGTGCTAATCTGGCCCCTACAGAAAAGAGGTCAGCAGCACACTTTGCCAGGTTCGTGAACAAAAGAAAGCTATATAACACCGCACAATTTGGACTCTTTTTACAAGGCTGCAGGCCTGGCTGAAATACTTGGGCATCAATAGATTTTGTCTGTCAGGCTAGAGTGGAGATCAGCAGTCCTTCCGGTGGGTGTAAGTGTCCAGTAGATGAAGATAGGAATTTTTAAAGAATTTTGAAAACAGAAAAAAATGATAATTATCCCGTACCAGCATCATCAACATTGATAACTGCCCCCGGCAGCAAGTGGTTAAAGCAATTTTCAGAATGTGTGAAACCCCTCATTTTTTGTTCTCAGCACTTATTATCCAATTCTTAAAAGTAACCTCAGGTTAATATTAAACCGAACTGACGACGAAAAACACAACTTTATTTTGGATCAGTCGCCCTCACGCTGCAATATTGTGAAGTAATACACAAGTATTAAATAAGTACTTCTGCTATAGTCATCACAAACACAACCACAGGTGCATTCAACTTTCATAACTAACGGCTGGTGAACAATACATATCAATTTCTTACATGGAGTTCATTTCTCTTATAGTGGCTCCCATGGAGACAGGAATGCTTGAGGCTACCTGTCAAGTGAGTGCTTTGGATGTCCTGGCAAAGCAGTCGACAACAACTGTGTTACAGTCTGAACAAATTTATTGGCACCACTTAACATTCCAATTATGGCAAGGCCATGTGGTGTGCAGTGGCAAGTCTGAACCACTGGGGGGGGGGGCCAGACTGCAGCGATATTGACAGAACATTCCGACAACTGTGATATACTGCAATGCCAGAGGTGAGCGGGCTTATTATTGTGGCTGCGTGAATGAAACTCATTCAAACATATTAGAATGATCTAGATACTCACATATCTTATGCTTTCCTTTGATCGGGAACCTGACCACAAGTTCTTGGGGGTTCTCGCAGATAAATACATAGGGTGATGGGCTGTCGCCATGGGGATACTGAAAAACGGCATAGATAGGAACAGATTTAGTGTCCACGAGAATCTCATCAACTGTGAACAAAAGTCCATCTCGAGCAAATAAGACCTACTGCTTATTTGCAGGTTTCCTTGCCAAGACACAAGAGGAAAAGGTTTTTATTCTCCAGGATGCAAGTACCCATTTATACCCGCTGTGACTCTGTTCACTGGCAAAGTTTCACGTTCCACTCTTAACAGTCAGTTGTGCCTGGTCTATGGAGAAGGTCAACACTGCCCAACCCTCCAAAAGTCTTGGCGTAATGACAGATGTACTGCAGTAATATTCAAGAAAAATAAACCCTCCCTCCCCATAAATTCGGGCGATTCACAACAGCGCACCTCCAAGCCTTTGTAACACGTTGGCCAATCACAACGTGCGTAATCTGTCGACCCTTTCCAAGGCATTGGGTTGACAGATTTCGTGCACTGTGATTGGCCAACGGGTTGCAAAGTCTTGGAGGTGCACTATTGTGAATCGCCTGTATTATGTTACCCTGTGGCATTTGGAGTTGCTCACATAAAACCCCATCTCGCCAGGAGACCTTTAGCACTAATACCTCATAACTGCCATTAACGAACGGGACAACCACACCAAGAGTTCTCACCTGTTCTTGATACTGTTCCTGTGACAGGCAGTCCACCATATCCACGCAGCCCAGCAAGCAGGCGGTGGGATATTCCTTGGGGAATGTTACATCCTCATCATCTGTGTAGCAAAACAATACAAGACACAGGGTATGATATTCATTCAATGGTAGGGTGAGCTGCAGTTGAAGAGGCTGGGCATCAGTTTTCAACAAAGTGTTACTTCATGAAAAACAAACTTTTGAGAACTATCATCCAAAGCAAAGGTAAGGAAAACAAGAAATCCCCTGGGGTGTATGTAAAAATCACATTATTGAAATTGGAGGATTGAGGACTGTTAGGGTCAACTGTTGAAAGATACATTTGTATCTCCAACTGACAACAGGCGTTAAATGAACTGCTAAGCCTAACTCCTTTTTATTATTTAAATTTCTCAATGAATTCTTGACCAATAAAGATGTCGTTTTCAAGGAGTGGCAATGTCCTCACATTTATTTGAACATAATGATTTCAAAGAGTGTGGAATATGCAAAAACAGCAAAACTGAAATGGAAAAACCAGAGGATAGTTTATCAATTTGTTTCCTCGGTAAGCAAGGTATAGCGCTACCAACCTTGATGAAATGACCGATGAGTGTTCTCAACTTCTGCTATTTCTTCAGGAGTTGCTTTGTGGGAGGCTGCAGCAATCCATAGCCTGCCTCTGTGGGATGAGTACCACGTCCTGCCTTCATGTCTAAATGGGAAACAAGTTAAAAAAGGACAAAGATTCATATCCACTCTAACCAGCCAGTCACAAAGTTTCACGTGCGTTGAGAGAACTACACAGTTTCATTTTGGGAGTACCCCTATCACAATCTCCAGAGACACAAACCCTAGCAGACAACAAGGAATTCAGTCATCAGTCCCTCAACGACTTCTCCTGCAAAACTTTTGACTATCCGACTTCCCCTTGAAAGCTTAAGTAAAAAGCATGAACAGTTGGTTTCATGCACAGTGGAAGATTGCCTGGAGGATTCTTGCAGGTTCCCAGATCAAAATTCCTAAGGAATTAGGAATAACCTCAAAAGGACCTATCATTTGGGGGCGGGGGGCAGCTTAAAACCAGGGGAGAGGGATTCTACTCTCCCCGTCCTGGCTAACCCAAGCTTCTAAAACTCTGCAGGGGTGCAAAGACATCCGTTATACGTGTAAAGTTTCAATTTAATCTGTTCATGGGGGCCATTTGGGTTAAAGTAGACAAAGTACTAAAAATGAGCTGGCCGACACCGCCACAAGTGAACCTGGGACTCACCTTTTCACTCCCGTGACAAGCAGTGAGGCCCAAGGCTGGTGCATGCTGAGGCAGTAACCCTCGTCGGACATCTCCATCAGCTCCCGGTCCTGGATGCGCAAGGTGCTCGTCTTGCTGGTCAGGGACAGCTTCTCCGACTTCTGCAGAGTAGCCGAGTCGGGAGGACAGAATCTGTCCTCCTTGCTTTGGACAAACTGCCAAAAGAAACAGAGAATAATACAGGAAAAAAGTCAAGCCTTCTCTGTTCTGTGCAGCTGGGATACTTTCACTTTAAAAACATCAATTGTCCTAGCTTTGATAACTCGTTCAGGAGTTTGTAAAATCCCATGTGGTAGGCTGTCACTTGGTATCGTACTGTTATGACTTAAATTATACTTGGGCACCATTTCAAAATTCTTATCGGGTAGGTGTCGGACAGAACGGTCCAACTGATACATTTATTATCGGTTGGCTATCAGGTTAAGTGGCTAATTATAACTGATAAATGCCTTTTCATTGCATATCTTCCAAGGCTATGCGGTTTCAGTGGAGCATCACCTCCTCCATTATTCACTCACACAAGTTATCGGTCGGATGGCAGAGTCCTAAAGTCAACCGATAGGAATTCTGAAATGATGCCTTGGCAGTGTGTCGCGGGATACTGCCAAGACTGGAGCATTTAAAAGGTCAGGGCATTCCTGTATACACTAGAATGCTTCTTTAGGGAGTAATGTGTTGTCCATTGTGGGAATCTACGCTGCTCTTGCCGTGTTCCTTATGGACTACTATCACAATTCCGAGCCACGCGTTGATCCCAAGTTAAAAGCAATGTTCTTGTTGGAATGTCCTTTAGCGTTTCAGCAGCTTACGGCCTTTAATACACTCAATTATCCCACTCATCATTGCAGTTGAGTAGGCCATAAAATTAATGCCAAAATGGAAGTTTTTTGAATCTCAAGAAATCGATTAAGAATGGTTACACTCTGGTCAAAAAGACATGTATTGTTGTCAGAAAGGTGCCACTATGCCCATCAAGACAAAATTAGCTTATACCCATCAAAATTGGGCATTCAACATCAGACTTTTTTTTAAACATACCTTTCCCAACTTCACTAATAAATACACAATAACTACAATCAACGTTCTGAATCTCTCTCTCACCCGGGGTGCAGCCTGACTGATATTTGGATTGACGATGTCGCTGTCTCCCGCTGCACCTCTGTGACCCCTGACATTGCCCGTCCGGCCAAAGTTCACGGCCTGGACCACCTCATCCTGCCCGTCGTACATGTCCACCTGCTGTGTGTCCTCCACCACCCGGCGGCCGGCAAAGTCCAGGGTGAAGGTTTTGCGGAGGCGGGAGCCATGCTTCTGCTCCATCAGCTCCTGCTTGCGCCGCTCCAGCTTGGCCCGCTCCTCCGAGGTCAGCCACTGGTTGGAGTCGGTGGAGAAGTAGTCAGACTCGTCGTCGATGACCTGGGTGCGGCGGACGCTGAAGAGGAAGACAGAGGGAAAGTCCTTGTTGTATATAGAGGCCAATGCAGACGGCTTGCAGGTTACAGTGACCTAAACTATACAATTGGAAAAGTTGGAGGGCCTGACGTTTTGATCTTAGCGGAATATTTCTCAAAGGCAATGGGGAGACGTCTGTATCAAAGATCAGCAGCCTCAAATTAGACAACTGAACCACTGTCCCCAAGTTGGCTCAATTTAAAAGTACAATGGTAAATGGTATCATGTAAGGTTATTCCTTTTGGCCTGGTTCCATTCTTGAAAAAAAAAAAAAAGTTTGTCAAATTGTTTCAATTTCAAACAGGTGAGCCAATGCCAGAGAAAGCTGGCACACACACGCAAAACTCATGAAATAAAACCAGCATATTATCTAGAAACAGCAGATACTATTCTGGGTTAGGGTGGAGGTCAGGTGAAGTTTTTTAATCTACATTTTGCAACCCTCTTGGACAGACGGTTGCAAAGATGATCCACATTTCCCCTTAAGTGATTTAATCATGATTGTGATACACAGACTTCTGTACATCAATGATGCCAAACTTTGATAACACGTTCTTTCTTACGGTGCTCAGTGGACCGTAAGCCCCCATAGGCTCCAGAGGACAGTGAACATATAAACAAAGTGTGATGTCATCAGTGCACAGGCCCATTGACTTCTCAGATTATGACGTACAGTATCTCACCTGGTCTTGTCATACTCAATCAGCTTGTCCTTGTGCTTGAGCGCCTTGTCCAGCCCAGCCTGTAGCCTGGAGGCCACGCGAGGCAAGGACAGGTCTCCGTCGCTGGCCTTACTGCCCCCTTGGCCCTCCTTCCCTTCCCCCATCAGCTTCTGCCGGAGCTTCTCGCTGGCCTTGGAGTTCCTGGCCAGGATCTCCTGCTCCTCCCTTGTGCACACCTGCAAAATCAGGGGTCCTGATTTGAGGACTCTTTGGTCTAGCTGCTTGACTTTAGCCTTGGGTTTGTTTTTTTCAAGCCCTTGGCACCGTCTTTGTCTTGGACTTTACCTGGAGCTTCATGTTCAGTCTCCAGAATTTGCTCCGGCAACCAAATCAAAATTCTCCACAGCCCTGATTCTCACATGGGACAAAATGATGTTCCCGGGGTAGAAAAATGAATATGCAATGATCCGATTGAGGCCACAAACAAAAACAAAGCCAGGATCTGGTGCAGAGCTCTTTCGAATAAAGGGATTATGCTTTCACTGTGGTACCCAGTATATCAGCAGTCTGAGTACAGTGCCTACTGCGGCCTTCATTTTTCATCAATGATACTTATGAAACACTTTGCTTTTGGTGGACGCGGTGCTTCTTGATATTTGGTACCCACTACAGGTCACATGTCTTAGTGGGCGCAATCAGTCTATTACAAAATCTGGATGTAAAGATTTCTTTCAAGAAAGCGTGTCCTTTTTTTTTTCAAAGCTTTGTCAAACTTTGTAAAATATTTGCTTTGAATTTTCTTGTACAGATTGCTTACAAGATCTCAGTGGGAAAAAAAAGACAGAACTTACAAGCTTCCCACAGAAGAGGCAGGGCCCAGACCCTTCCTGTTGACACACCACTCGGCCACAACTGAGGCAGTTGGCCACCAGGCCGTGCTTCTGGGCCTGGCATTCGCACCAGTGCCTCCCTGCCAGGTGCACCACGCTGCGGGCCTCGCCCTCCTTGCTGTAGAGAGAGACGTACTTCTGCTTGCGTTTGGCTCCTTGCCGGTGGGCCTGGGCCTCCGAGATCTGCTGCTGAGGGGCTGTGGGGGGTGGGCCAACAGCTGAAGGGGGAGGCTGTGAAGAAAAAAAAAATTGAACTCGGTGTTATCTACAGAGTGCTGGCAATACCCGGTTTCTGTCAATTACTTCAAGCAAGGCATCTTCCCAAAATGGGTCTGATGATCATTTTTCAGTGCTTTGGTTTTACTTTCCACTGGAAACAGTTAACTGAGCTCTCTTTTGATGTATCATTAAGTTTAGCACCCTGAGAAAAATGGACATTACACTCGTGAAAAATGTTGACGGTTCCTGTTGATTTACTGTCAACCTGTGTGATTCTCAGTTTGTTCGCTGACGGCAGAAAGTAGGCACTGTACGACGATGGATATACTATGAGCCCTGAGCTGGACTAAAAGAGGGCGCCATTTTCCTGGCAACGAAGGATCTTTTGGCCGGAACTGACGTTTCTGGTCCACAAACGACTACGAAATGCATGCGTGAGGGTCGCGTTGCTACCAACAAAATGAATACTCCTAACACAGCTCTCTAAAACTAATGGGGGCGGGGCTTCTACTCAAGGCGGATAGCAGAGTGGTCAAGGGCACCACCAAAGGTTGCCATGCTATGGAGGGGTTGGTCACCTTGCAGCTGGGGAGACTGACTTCAATCTTTCGGTAGAGGCTTCAAGACGGTGCCAATCCGAATCTTACCAATAAAACAGTACTTTGAGTCCTTAGGCCGTTATCGTTCTTCTTCCCTGGAAAACAATATGGAATCTGTGCATGCAATATTTGTAAAAGCTGAGCAGATTGGTGAAAAGAAGTCCGGCTGGCCTCAGGTCGGCTAGCATATCTGCATCTGCTCCCGAACAAGTGGCAATAATTGAGAATTAATCCTGTGCATCAGAGGTGATGAACCAATGATCAATGAAGTGCCTGGATTGTGTGGGAGCTGCAGAAAGCATAACACAGGATAGTGAACTTGACATTTTACTGACTTACATCCCCAGGCATTCGAGGCTCGCTATTCACGGCCGAAAGGTCCACCTTTGTGAAGCCTCCAGGTTTCTTGTCTTTGGCTTTGGATTTGTTCTGTGATTTACTGGCTTTCGGAGCGTAGTCTCTGTCTTCGACTGGCTTCTTATATACCTGCAACATGAAGGAACATTAAACTTGAAAATGTCTGTGAACTTCCACACAAACAGCTTCTTAGAGTTCAAGTCACAAGGCAAGAATATTAGCGAGGTTTAACAACAGGTTGCAGGTAAAAAAAGTGAGCACAAATGCAGGGAATTTAATGGAGGGAACGCTGAGCTTCACTCACTGTGACATTGTCTGGGGGAGCAGCACAGTGTTTCTTACGGAGCAGTTCCCGAATGAAGGCTTGAGCCTTGGGGTCGGCCACGTCCAGTAACTGGTGTAAGTACTCCTCAAGGTCCTTCACATTATCAATTTCCAATAGACATCTGCCAAAGTGATCCAGACAGTCAATGTCAATGGTTTTCAACGAGGTCTATTTGCACTTTACTCTTTTCCTGAATTTTCCAATGCTAGAAGATTCAGGACTGCAAGGTTCAAATCATGAACAATTCAGAGATGCTTAAAGGAAGTTAAAATGGGTTTGCAATGTTGCGGGAAATAATATACACAGTATTCTGGGGGGAGGGGGAACATGGAAAAATAGTGATGTTTACACTTGGAGTACTGATATTAACATAAGGGTACAATCAAATGAAGCCAACACATTTTCAAAACTCCTTTCAGATTGCTTTTTAAAAGTTCAGTCTTGATGTTGAAAAGAGATTTATGACCATCAATCACTTCCATGTTTTGGAAGCAAATTCAGATATGACAGTAGAGATCTGAGAGGAAACTACCCTTTCATGTACACTGAAACTTGACAAGTGCATATGAAAAAGTGTAACTTCATCATTTTAGCAATACACGGACACAGTGATCTGTTTCCTGGGTTCAGCAATATATATATTCCATGACAGAGATATTAACCAAGTGCAGCCTGCTTGAGATGACGGTCCTCTTACTTGGCAAAGTCTTCCGATGCATCCCCTCCAAGAAGAGCCGAGAGTTCACTGCTGCACCACTGAATCAGTGGTCCCATTGAAACTGCCATCTTCATACAGACTCTGGAAAACACAACCACCAGCAAATTTACAAATATGAGGTTTTTATTTTGCCGTCACTGAACTGACAACATATGAACTATCAGCAGATTTCAATTTGTTTCCTTTCAGGAAAGTCACAACATTATTTGAAATTGAGTTCCTTATCAAAGTGTAGTCTAGTTCCTTTTTCTTTTTGGTGATACAGGGCTCTGAAGGATTTTTTGAAGGGGGAAAAAGTCCAAAAATCAACAAAGTGACAACAATGGTGCAAATACTTTCTGATCACTATTCGAGAGTCATAAGGTTCACATGTGTACTTGAAGACAAGCTGCAACCTAACTGGTTGACTATAGCTGCAATTGGTTCATGTGACCCTGCAGCACACTGCCATTTCAACCAACTCAACCAGTCAGGCAAGTTGTGGCTGAGAATTACACATACAGGAAGTGGAACAGGAACATTGAATATCAAACAGTTACTTATTTAACATTGAATATCAAACAGTTACTTGTTCAACATTGAATATCAAACAGTACTTGCTTCAACATTGAATGTCGAACATCAAACGAAGAACAAGTAACTAACTTCACACAGCCAAATTCAGTTTGTGTATCAATTGCAGCCGTGCTCAACTAGTTTCATAAAATTGGCATGCTTTGGACCCATTTTTTTCCTAGGTACTGAAGACGAATGTATGTCAGCCACCTTACAGAGATCTTTTGAGAGAATGCAGCGATATGGGTACACACCAACCCAAGAATCCATTCTAAACGGCATGTTGTAGAACCATGGAGGAATACCTCGATGGTAGAACCTACATAGAAAATAGCTTCAAAAGAGTTCCATATGGATGCTGCTTGACACCCTGTGCACAAACCCTATGAGACTGGTCTAAAAATTCCAAGTGTTTTGTAAGTAAACGACTTGGCATTTTCCCTAATAAATTTGACTTTTCTTGATATGTTTTTGCTTTCTGATGGCTAATAATAGGTCGATACAGGGAATAATTACTAGCATCCGTATACGGAACTCTTTCCCCTGTAGCTTTCGGTGGGTTCGTCAGAGTGTGACAGGTGATAAACTCCTCAGTTCTGGGGGAATTGGGAGATTTGTCATAATTTATTGGCCTAGTAGTAATAGTGAACCTGCCCAACTCATCATGAGCCTGTAGTGATGGCTATATCCAGCCAGACCTCAGTGCCTAGTGCTAGGCCCCAGTGCCTTGGGGCCTAGCACCGCAGAAGTATCACCACTGTCCCTCGGCTAGGTCCTCCAAGGTACGGCATTAGGCCCATTAGTAGGCCTTAGGCAAGCCCCACACGTTGGGCTGTAGTGGCTCTCTTTTACAATCTGTCTCTTTCTGTCGCCACCACAGCCCTACTTCAAGGCATGTCTTTAATGCCTGAAATCCAAACTGCAGGATTGTCACAAACTTTGAATCCTAATATCTTCCGAAATGAGAATGACTCGACAATTTTACTTACACCGGCGTATTCCTCAGAGTCTGGACTTTTATATGAGCACCCTAAAGCTTTCCAAAACCACACATTTTCCACTGTATGGTGCCTTGAAAACCCGGCCTATGATATTTTTATGCTGGGTGGCGCCATTTTGAAAAACGAAAGCAGTGCTTCTTGCATCAGATTTCAAGGCACCCGACAGACGCTCTGGTATAGGTTGTACCATACAAAACTGGTTCCCCATCACCTTGCGTGATAGACGGACAAGGAACCGGTGAAATTAAATTTGAATACCATTAATATGCATGTCATTGTACCATGCTCCACACATGTGCTGTGGCCGTACTGTACAATAGTAAAGTGCGCGCGCAACTTATTACTAAGCAACATGAATTATGCATATACTGCACCTGTTGGGTGCCTTGACTTCCGGCACCCGAAGACATGCCTTGAAGTAGGGCTGTGGTAGCAACAGTTAAGAGACAGATTGTAAAAGAGAGCCACTAAAGCCCTACGTACGTACAGGCCTGCTGACTGTACTAGACTGGCGACCATAAACTAGTCGCCAGTCCCTAATTTGGGGGTTTATTACCATTAGCACCCTGTTCCTATAATAAGGAAACAAAGTCCACTTTCTCAAACTAACTAACATTTTGACCTTAAGGAACCATTACTCAATCCTAGTAGGCCTAGTCCAGGTGATGTTTTACAATATTCAAGCAAGAAAACTTCAAACTCCTAACCCCAGTTTGGCAAAAGACAACCACTCAGTCGAATCACACCATTTTCTTTTTCGTCTGGTTACCCGACTCAGGCTTTTTGGATTCATCGAAACAAATCTCCATCAGGTCAAGGAACCAGACTACATTCGCCAAATTTTGTTGTTCACAGCTCTTCATGGTACGCTGCCATTTTAAGTAAAAATTTCCCTCAAAAACCAAAAGCCCTGTTCTCTTTTCTTTCTGATATGAAAGAGGACATCACCAACAACTTGTTTAGATAAAGTCATTTCAAAAAAGTAGAATTTGTTCCCTTATAATAGGAACAGGGTGCTAAAAGTAGGCCTAATGTCATGAACCCCCTAATTTCGCCACCTATTACCAAGTCTGATTGGTTTTCACTGTAAGTGGCGAGATAAGGGACCTGGCGACTATACAGTCATGACAGTCACGCACGTTTAATAGTCATGTTAGTACTAGTACTAGTAGTAACGTGCATGACCGTATAGTCAGTGCTATTAGTAAGTAGGACGGTGTAAGTAGGCCTAGTACTAGTAGGCTATTAGTAATAGTCTGGTAGTAGTACTAGGCCTACTGTACTAACACTAGCCATGCTAGTGACTATACTACGACCTACCAATCCTACCAATGTCAATTTGCACATGATGCATGACACTATAGTACAGGCCCAAAATCCTGAAGACTAGTGGTAAGAGGAATAAGAACACAGTTGGGTCCTATTGTCCAATGCCAAATTATATTTCAACCTACATCTTTATGTCGATGAACACGAAGAAGACATTTCGCAGTCACACACCCACAGTCGATATTTTTCCTCCACGCACCGTGTACTGCGATGGTCTAAATTGCACAACCTGGGAAAATCTCCCATACCGGCAATGACGGGTGCACGCGGGATGACTTTGTCGCATGCGCATGCCAACGACAGAGGGCTCACTTCCTACGTTGAGTACACGTACGGACGCGTCGCGCCGCGCCGGTCGAGCGATATTGGAAAAGTTGGACTAAAACGCCCGGCCAACTCAGGCAAAAAACACCATTTATGGTCAGCCTGAACACATAATATTAAATACGATGCATACAATGTAAGCCTACTTTTTAATTGCCTGGAAGGTGAAGTGACTAACTGGGGAGTGGGGAAGTGGAGTGACGAACTGACTAAAAGCGACAGGGGATAGCCTGTCGCATCATCCTACGAGATCCGACAGCTGCACATAGTGTACGGCCCCCGGAGGTAGTCCACCGGAGCTCCATTGATGGGGGTGCTTGTTTTTGTTTACAATTTTTTGGAAGCAATTTGATCATTCCTTTCACACCCTCTTTCCTTTGCACACACTCTAAGTGATTTGGAACAGTTATATCCAGAGAATGGGGATCCATTCTCACAAACATTTCTGACTGAACCCACATGTAAAATTTATGTAGGGCCTAGGTCATACTTAATCAAAAATATCATGATTTAGATTTTTTTAACAAAATAATGTTACTAGTACGCAAGGGCCACTTATCCTCCTGCCCCCCCAAAAAAATTTCGAGTTACTTATATGGAGAGCAAAATACTTTTACAAATGCAAAACTTCACAGCTTTGGACGCTCAAAGCATTTTACCAATATTATATCCCGCATTTATACGTTCATTAGGCCTACACACATCATGCGCACACACGGGAGTTTTGACCAGAGTTCAAAATATTAAAATGAACTTTAACAACATAAAATTCGACCAAAATTTTCTTTTGCCCTTTCTCAGCGTCCTGCCCGGGGTGGGCGGTTTTTGTCGACTTGCCGCATGGATGTGAGGTCAAAAAGTCAGTGAGGATTGCAATCCAGTTGAGTTTAAAACGTGTGTTAGTCCCTTTTCACCTTTTATTTTTTGGTGTTGCCAGTTAAAATCTCCAAAATCATAGCAAGTTTCAAGGTTTGGTCTGAAATGGCAGTACACATTGGCTAAAAAATATGCATGGGCGTCGCCGGGAATTTTTGTTGGCGGGGGGGAGGGGGAAACTGTCTAGCTAAAACAATAACATTTAATTGCCAGAGGAGGTCAATGTCCTTTTTTTTTCTCTCAAGCTAATTGATGATTTTGATACTATTCCATTTCTGTTTTTCATTTCTTTGGTAGTTTTTCCTTTTTTCGTTTGTTCTGGGTCCCCCTCCCTGGGGCTTCCCTTAATATGATTATACGGCATATTTATATAAGTATGAATAAAAGGTACGGTAACCCTTTCAACAGGCAGCAGTCTTCAAGGGAATCAAAATATACCTCACTTGCGAAGATGGAAATTCACGCCCCCAAATGAGATTTCTTTTGTTTGTTTTCTGAGGGGGGTGGGTGGTGGAAATTAAGCTTTGTTGAAATACAAACTCTCCTTTTGATTGAAGCAATCTGAGACCCAATCTCAATGCATTCCACCATGGTGATACATAATAGGATTTATGAACTTCACCGCGGCGAGATGTCAATTTGACACCGCGGCAAGATCGTATAACTCGCCACGGAGAGACAGACATTCAACGATTTAACTCGCCGCGGCGGGGGAATTACTACCTCGCCGCGGTGAGATAGTAAATCCACAAACTGATAATATAATTTAAGTAAAATTCGACCAAACCACAAAATATCCCACTTTGGTTATTATGTGGTTTATTGACGATAATGCTGAACCACGTAACGAACTCTATTCTTTTCGACCCAATGAGAAAGTTTTGGACTGCGGCCGCGGCGAGGTCCTGAACGGAAAAGCTCCCTCGGCGGTCACGAGGTAGCAACTTGCTCTGTGAGCTTTCAAACTCACAGCTGTGAATAAAGAATTTGCGCAACGCTTAGGCTGTATTCCCCTAATGCTCTGGAGCATTTTGTGCGGAAACGCAAGGATCTGCAGATGCTTTGCCGATTCTTTTCCTTGTCGCCACCGAAATACTAGAATGGGAGAGTCCATGTACCGAGGTTAACTCAATTCCCAATGGCGGATTGGTCCATTTGAAGCAAGATATTGGACGGAGACCCCCCTCCCCCGGCCTTGTGTTGTCAATGTTTGACCGGAATCTCAGGAATTCTCTTCAGACATCCAGAGGATGGCTTAGGTAACAGAAGTCTGCGGAAGAAATTTTAATTACGGGTACGGGGTTCGCCCTTATAGGCCTACATCTTGAAATTGTCTAGAGAATGTCTATCCGGTTCGTAAGCGTGACGTCACTTCAGTTTAAACCACGCCCACTGCACACGCACTGCGCTAAGGGTTAATGCACTGATCGCCGTTTACATTGAACTGGAAGTTAACCTGCACCTGCAGCGATTGTCCAATGGGAGCCTGCAAATCGTGGCGCATCCGACTTTGTGACAAAGTCACTTACGAACCGGACACAGTTTGGACAACCCTCCGTCATATTCATATATCTTGTCGAGTATAGATTGGTCAGGATGACCAATGCTTATAGCCCTTTTTGTATATCTATAACGAAAAAAGCGCCTCGTTTTAGTGGGACCACGGCCGAAAGCTGCAATAGGCCTTCTCCCAAAGTCGTTGATGATGATGTTAACCTGATGATAATGACTTCATCAGCTAGTTTTAAAAGTTCTCCATGACGTTTACAACGTTAACTTTTCTAATTTTAAAAAGTACAGTAAACAGCGCTCGACTGTTGGAAATGTTATTGCTGTGCTTGATCTTTCATACGGTCGGTGGTTTACCCTCAAACCTGCGCTCAATTGGCCAATAGACTGCAATTCATTCTGTTTGCCGATTAGCCTTAAAATCTATTTCAAATCTCGCTATCTGTAGCAACCGGAAACAACCCACGTTTTAGAGTGTCAAAAATTTCAAACAAACTAACAAAAACGTCTTTCTCACGACAATCCACTTGAGTGTCTGTTGCCCAAACACATGACCAAAATGATTGTTGCCAGTTTCCTTGAAAAATGACAACTTTCCGTTCGATGTTGACGTGTTGTCTTCCGTACCAAATACAAGATTTTTGCTTTGTTGCACAGCAACCTCCCCCCCCCCATCTGCAGCAGCTGATCCTCTTCTCTTTCAAAACTCTTTTCAAAATGTTTAAGACCTGGGTTAAACAGGATTCATCGGATTTGCGGACAGCAGTGCAGGAGAGAGCAGCCTTGTGCAATCGTGGCTCTGGGTGGCCACCTGGATCACTGCTGACAAAATATTTAGTTTTGGTTTTTCCCGGTCAATTTCAGCAAGCTCAGTGATGGTATCGACACTCCGCTTGTCCCTTCCGCCACCTGGGATGGACTAGTCCCTTTCACAAGATGTGGTGATTTTGTGGGGTGCATCAAACTGCACACCTGCAGCAAATTGTGGGTTGCATGGTTGTACCAAAACTATCCCCGCCCTTGGCAGACATGTCCAAATAACGAATGTTTACGAGTGTAATGGTAAAAATAACACTACACGGTGACAGTGGCGTGCGCCGTTGCACTTACATTTGAATTACCTCCGAACAACATTATTCTTTCCATTTCTCAAATGCAAAACATCTAGTATTTGTTTTATACGAAATAATACAACGCCTCAATCCATCTTGAAAATTCCCCGCACCACCTGAATAAGAACGGGGGAAAAATCGATGCCCAGATCGATGCCTGCATCTCCCAGTTTACATTTTCTTGCGGCTCTGGCTAACTGCAATAACACTATGACATCTTCATAGCCATGTCTGCAAATGCAGCCAGGAATGGTATTTTTACGTACTCTCCCAAAAACTGATACTTTATCTCGCAAACCCCCTCAGAAAACCGAGGAGAAACATGGCACCAGTCCCCACTGTCTGTAAGGGTGTACAAATGTATTTCCATCTTGCAGAGAAATATCAAACGGAAAATAAATATGGTCCGAGATGATGTTATAGCTAATGCAATGAAGACACGTTTTCTCATGAAAAATGACTGAAAGTCACCCCACAATCAATGAAACTACCGACAACAAAACCACAATGCACAATGGTCCACTTATTTAGGCTGTCAGTTCCAGACAGTATTTAATAACCAGTCTGCTAGCGTTATTTACACATTTCAAATGGTACAGTGGATGAAAATGCATTTAAAACGATAAAAATAGCATGAGAATCTTCCTTTTCTATTTGTTAGTTTTGTTTACACTTGACAAACAAAACTTTTCACATGCCATCCCTGGATCAATTCACCGATACTGTAATTAATTATCTATTTTTTCCTTCAAAATGTAGGTATTCATTGTTCTGATTCAGTGGGATCTGAGCAATGTCTGCCTTTGAAGGCTGCAGCCAAAGTCAAACACGAGAATTCATTTGGGTAATAAATATAACAAATTGATCAATTATTGATGTCATATAACTCATACTCATTTCTGTGAAGCAATTGGCTTCAAGGATTAAGCCATCTCACATCTATCGAACATAAAAACACTGTCAATGGGCATATATCTACATGCCCCCCCAAATACTTTCAAATACTCAGTACCCTAATGCCACGAGCAAACTAAAAACTTAGCCGTATAAACGGCTATTGGTCTTCAATAACACTGCAAAACCTGTACATGTACTGTTAAACTGGATTCATTAACACCATTGGTAGCCACATAGAACATTGGACTGGTATTTTTCAACAGATATTCTAAAGGTGTTAAGTTTACACCATGGTTTTGGCAATTTAGGAGCATGACGCTGGGTGATTCATTCTATACCTCACAGCTAGGAGCACAGCCGAGACCATAGGGCAAATTGGTCTCACATGAGCAGCATGATGCCAAAGCCAGGACCATAGCCACATCCATGGGCTAAATCAGTCTTCCATGATGAGCACTATGATGCCAAAGCCAGGACCATAGCCACATCCATGGGCTAAATCAGTCTTCCATGATGAGCACCATGATGGTAGACTGTGAGCACAGCCAACACTTACAGCTATGGTCTTAGCAGCATGACGCTTGATGGTTCATTCTACACGTTATTTTCCCCACTTGGGGAAAGTTTGATAAAAAAGTTCTCAACCTCTACTAGTTAGCCACAGCTTGACCACAATACATGATATGCAGTTGGAATAGAATACTTGCCTACTCCGGGAGAGACCTACGGAAGTATATCACGTCCCTAGTGAGCCTAAACTTTAATGAGAATTTACTGTCATTTGACTGAGGATATTTACTCTGGTACAAAGGCACATAGGACATCATAAACCAATTGCTATGTCATTGATTCCTGATTCAATAATCAATGATCCTTAAGAAAACTAGCTCTTTGTTACAAAAGTATTCCCAACTGCCATGTTGCGTTTCGATTTCCTTTGTCAATCTGTGAACACTAGTAGAGTCTCCAGTTTCTTAGGCAAAGATCGCATGACAGAAATTTTGATTTCTAATGGGAAGTGAAGTTGGAAGTTTATGCCATGAAATGGCACAGCTTGAAACACATTTTAAGCTCATCAAAGTAAAGTGTCTTGCTTGGGGACACATGATTTGCATCTGGTACCCCAACTTCTAATACAAGCAACCAACTGATGCCAAGGAATTGCCCAAACGTCAGTTTCCTCTCTGGCTTTGGATTTATTCTGGAGTTACATGAAATCTGATCCTCTCGCTCACAACATCTCAATTTTCTTCCAAACATCAAATTATTTTTAAATGTACAGCTTTGCGTGTTTCCAACAGGAGAGAAACTGTGCAAAGAATGAATCTGGAGGGTAGGGCAAAGCCACGCCAGAGACAATGCCTAGATTTGGAAGACATGGCCTAATCAGACAGCATGCCCTCTGGCTATGGAATCTCTGATCTGCCTGTCCAGCTCGCTGATGATCCGATCCTGGTGGGTGTACACCCCGGTTCTCAGCAGCGTGTCCCGCTCCTCAATGAGCCTAGCTACATGTGCCTCTACCCCTGCGTCCAAGGCCCCAGATCCAGGGGGTTTAGTATTCTCCTTGTGGTCTTGGGGTGGTGGTGGTGGTGTCTGCTGGTGCTGTGCTTTTTGCTCCTTGTCAAGCTCTTGCTGTTTCAATCTGATGAGAGACAAACTTTTCATGTCTAACTCTTGTAAGCAATACATAGGGCAGAATTTTTTCAGAGGTGTATATCGAGCTCAATATCACTGTCCAAACTAGACAACAACCTTTTGTGAAAAACTCGCCTCCCCAATGGTTGTTCTTGACACCTGTGCAATGTTTGACCTCTGATCTAATGTCCCTGTTCGTCAGCTACATACATGACGCCGAACTTTCTTTTAATTGTAAAAAGAAGACTGTGAATAACCCTGACCCCTTCACCAAGAAAAAAAAAGCCTTATGGCTGGTTCACACTTCACACGAACAAGTGGAGTAAATATGTCACAAAAAATTTGAAGCAAAGTTTATCTGGGTTGAGATGTGAACTTGCAAGTTCTGAGCATGAATGCCTTCACTGTGATGTCACAAATTTGCATTCCCACTAGCCATTGACTTCATGTTCATTCATCCTAGTGCTTAATTCTCGTGATCACTGCCTTGGCTCCAGGGAACGACACTGTCACATCTCTTTTCTAAACCCTCTCCTCTCTTTTTTTTTTCCTTTTATTTTCACCTGTTGAGCTCCCCCTTGATCTCATCCAGTTGCTGCCTCTCCGACTTTACCACCTCTTTCTCCTCAGCTGCCAGGTACCTCAGCCTCATGTGCTCCAGCTCCTGCTGTTCCCTCTTCAGCCGAGCCTTGGCCTCCGACTGCTCCCGTTGCTTGAGGCGGGCCAACTCCTTGAGGGCTCGCCCCCACTGTTGCTTGTAGTGCACCTTGGACTTGCTCACTGACTCCAGCTTCCTTTCAAGCTCAACCTGTGAAATTTCGTAAGTTAGTCAGGGCATCCTTTTGAAAGTAAGTGTGGGGACTCTATTCTTATAAGGAAAAAAAGGTGATAAGAACACAGACTATTTAAAGTTGACCTTTAATTGATTACTTATTAAACACAATTTCCTTGTTTCAGTATATTTCTTTTTTTTTAAAAGCAAATATCCAACTCAGATTTACAAACATTTGCTTATGTTAAATAAATGTTTTAAAGTTTGAAAAAGACCAAAATTTTCTTTTAAAGTCGTAATTACTATGAAAGAAATCAATGCCAAAGTCAAACAACCAACTGAAGCCTTGAGTTAAATGATCAATTACTTCTTGTGGCTCATTCACAGCTCATTTTTGGCTTGGAAGTATGAATTTGGTGAGCAATCTTTTCTGCTATGAAACTGGCTGAGTGGTCTGTCAGCCACAAGGGACAAACTGTCCTCTGTTCTATTCACAGGGCATACAGGAATTTCGATGACTAAACTCCGCAACAAAAAAGGGCCAAACAACCTTCTCCAGTTGGAGCAGACTGAGATCGGACTGGAGTCGGACCTCCGGCTTGGTCGCCAGCTGGTCCTTGAAGGACTGGAACTCTCGGTCTTTCTCCTGCAGCTGGGCTTGGGCCTGACCCAGGAGCTGGGACAGGTGTTGCTTCTCCTCCTCAAGCAGCCGGACCTTGGACCTGATAGGAAACAGAGAGAGAGATAATAATAATAATGGAGATTCGTAAAGTGCACGTATCCACATAATGAAAGGCGCTCAAGGCGCTAGATACACAGAAAAATAACAACAAATGTATATTAAATATGCAGTAAAAAATGCAAATACTGAACATATACTAGAATTAGTCTAACATAAAGAAAAATGAAACACTAATTAAATGCCTGAGCCATGAGATGGGTCTTCAGGGATGTCTTGAATGAATGAATGGAGTCAGAACTTCGAATGTGTTTAACGGTAGTTGGTTCCATAGGCGAGGAGCTGCTACTGAAAATGATTTATCCCCCCCCCTGAGCTATGTAACCTGGGTTCTGAAAGTAGATATTTGTGACATGATCGAAGCATGCGAGATTGTTTGTAAGGTGTGAGGAGATCCATGATGTAAAAAGGGGCTTTGCCATTAAGAGCCTTATAGACAATTAATAGAAGCTTGAAGATTATCCTTGTAGATTAGAGATGGGCAGGAGGGTTGAATTACAAGGTGTCATCGTCCCTTTCAGACATATGACCCAAACCCGTAGCAATTTCAGGAGGCCATCTTGGTTAAAAAAACAGAAGAAGAACAAAACAGGAAAACGAGTACAGCCTGCAATATCATCACAGCAGAAAGAGTGCTATTTATCACATTCGTTCTACATCAGTAATGATCAATATTTCTTTATTTACCAGTCATTAGATAATCGTCATGACATTAGGATGGACTTCCACCCAAATGATTATAGGAAAGAGAAACTACCATCATGAGGTAAATTGTCCTTCCATAATCTCAAACTTGTATTCCCTAAAATCTGAGAAAGGTTTTGTTTTCAACGAAGCACCAGCCTTTCTTCCACCCATTTCTAACAGCAATGGGCAACAATGGATGAGCAAGAGATGCTGGGAATTGCTAACATTTTTTCAGTTGTCAATAGTGGAGGAAATCTGTCATTGTTTTGGAAAATTATACCATTGTTTGTGGCATTCAGCGCGAGTGGATTACCATCGAGGATAAAAGCGCTAAAGTGATGAGCGTTACAATACCGCTGCATGCTAATCTGGCCCCTATTGAAAATACGCCAGCAATGCACTGTGTCAGTTTCGCGAACAAAAGAAACTTATGTAACGCCGCACAATCTGGGCTCTTTTTACCAGGTGGCAAGCCTGGCTGCAATACTTGGGCATCAATAGATGTTAGATTAGAGTAGCCACCAGACAGTCATTCGTGTGGGTGTGGTTATGATTTTTTGAAGAATTTTGAAAACGGGAAATTTTGAAAATGCCCGGTTTTACATCATGCAACCTCAAATTAAACCAGGCAGCAAGTGGTTAATGGTCTTAACTCGGGGGACGAAAATGAAACCTGATGCATAAGACAGAAATGAAGCCAAGATTTAGATCCTTGGACTCCCAGTATTTGGTGTGAGAACTCCACCCACTTTTCAATCTCCATCTGGGCGATGTGGTCCTCCTTCATGCGGCGGGACACCTCCCTCATCTCTGTCAGCTGCCTCTCTTGCTCCCGCTGCAGGTCGCCACGAAGACGCATCACCTCTGCCTCGTTGGCTGCCAGCTGGCGTTCTCGCTTCTCGATGTCGGTGAGGGCAGTGCGCAGCTGACCCTCTAGGTGAGAGTGCTCCTTCAGCTGTTTCATAGACAGGAAAAAACAGAAAGGAATTACATCTCTCACTTGGGTAATACCTTCTGGGACCACAATTGCTTTGTTTGCCAACTACAGGAGCGCACACTGATTCAGAGGCACGGCCTGGTTACAGTTTGTTTCATGCGGATCTGGTTCACAATCAGTGATTTGTCATTGGTTCACTGACACCGGAACCGGCCTAATGCATAATGTAAACCAGCTTTGGGATCACCAATCGAGATCCAGATCTCTGTGAAACAAATAGGCCCCTTATCGTAGAGTAAGAGGTTGGAATCCAGCAGCCACTTACATGCTGTGACCTCAGGGTAAGTCACTTTACCCCTACTTGCCACTCTCGATCCACGAGTATAAATGGGTACCTGTGAGACAAAGCCTGTGATTAGCCTGTATTTGCATTTATGTTGGCTGCATCAGACTGTATTTATCCCAAGGAGCGAAGGTATTTTATTTTTTTGGGGATGTTACCTTTTTCTCAATGAGTGTCTCCCTCTCCCTATCCTTTCTCTTCCATTCCTCGGTCAAGGATTTCAGGTGCTGGAGTTCCTTCTCCTGGAGCTAAGACAGGATGAGACATTGTCTGCTTAAAGATCAATCCAACTCCGATCAGATTTTGTGAAAAAATATTAACCAACTATGAATATTTAAAAGCAGCTTTTTATGATTTTGTTTGGTTTGTCTCGAGTGGTAAGAGTTTCTGCTACTGTGTAACTATGATTAAAAGCCAATTAAATGGTAAGATGAAAAGGAGATATTTGAAAAAAGTTGACAGTGCCGATAGCACAATAGAGCTTAATACTTGAGTTTCAGTAAGGGTGTCAGCAAAAATACATCCAGGGGCCCTTAGCTCTGACGTCAACGTTAATCATCATTTCTACACTAGATGTAATTATTGTTGGCGACACTTTTAGGGGAAGTTTTTAATATTAACAGAGGTATATTTGAAGTGTGGTGAAAAGGGAAGGCATGCCTGTAAATCATCTCAAAGGGGGATTTGAAAGACAAATCACTGGATGCGGGGATGATGAAGACCATGACGATTTTTACCTGGTTCTCAAATTCCCGTACTTGCTGTTCCTTCCACATCTCCAGCTCCAGGGCTGCCTTGTACTCAGCTGTCTGCCTGGGGTCGGAGGGAGGGGCCTGCTGAGCTGGGGGCGGAGGATGGGCAGGAGGGGGAGGCGGAGGAAGGCCGTGGCGGGGCTGGGGGGCTGGGGCTGCAGAGCTGCTTGACGTCAACTGCAAGTGACGACGGAGAGAAGCGACCGTGGTTGAAACTGAAACCATTCTGAAGTAGCAATGGGCTCAAGAGCTCAGCTAAGACATTAGAGAGGTTGAGGTTTCTTGAAACGGGGAAGAGAGAAGCACAGGTGGAAATTTCGTGATGTCAGAATCAGTGCCCTTTACTTGTCGCATCGAATTGATTGGCAACACAGTGAACAACAAGTAATATACACATATGAGCAGAACTTCACAAATAAAGCTAACAAATATAAAATAAAGCGACCGCTTGACGGCTGTGCACTTGTTCAACCTCCACAGACTATTACAAGTCTCTATGTGTGGATACAAACACAGTGGGAATTACTCAAGCATGGGGACAATTACACATGTCATTTGTAACTGCCTAAAGCATTACTTTGCAATGAAAATTCCTGCATGTAAACACGTCATGTGCTGTGACGTGGATAAGTCTAGTCTATGATAAGGGTCCCGACCCAGTTTTTCTCGCTGTATAGAGAGCCAAAAATGACATCATTTGATGAAGGAGGTATAGTGCAAACCGATGGAGTATGCGCGCGAGTTGGTATGCGCGTGTTGGTATGCGCTGGTTTTACACATATAATTATGCATGTGACATATTGACTTTGGTTCTCTGTAATATCACGTTGCAAATGGACCTTACACTTGTATAGTGACAAAGACAGAGACAGTTTGAATACAGATATCAGGCCTGCAACTTGGACTTTGATAAAAAATGAGGAAATTCCAATTTTTACAAGCCTTTTATATAATGCCTTTCAATTTTCAGTGGCATGAGTGCGGACTGAAAAATGAGGAAATCAGCTCTTCCAAGGAAAAGTTGCATGCCTGTGATATGAAATACCACATGAAGTCAGACCTCTGATCCCAAGATGACCTGCTGGGCCCTGATTGGTCCATAGTCCTCCAATCCCAACACCACATACATCTCAGCCAACCTATTAGGCTTGCCGTCGGAGGCGGTCTCGGCCGTCACCCTCTCGCTGTGTATTTGCCTTGTGCCTTCTGCCCCTCCTGAGTGTGGACTCTGAGTCAGTAAATAAACATATTTCACTTTTTTTTTTCCAATGCTGTGTCATTTACTTAAACTCCCCAGGTATCTTCGCCGAGATTCTTGCTAACTCCAGAAAGATCCAATTCAAAATATAATTATGGACAGGAAACATACACAAACACAATGACTAAGCACCGTCTGCAGTCCCTGAATACAGTATCTACACATGATAACAGTTTAAGTCTTAACAAGCACCCAGTCCAACGCTGTCCACAAATAAGGCTTTCAAACTGTGGACCCATACAGCCTTCAGAGAAACACAACACAAGGAACAAGACATGAACAGCTCAGTATTGAAGTATCTCTGCAAAGGTCAACCTCAACTTGGCTTTCCATCTGTCATACAGATCTGACGGGTATGCGTGAACTTACAGCTATTCTGGCTTTCTCGGCCCCAAGCACCCCACTGAGTGGGACCCTGGCTACACCAAGCAGCTGGTCTTTCGTCATCTTGTCCCTGTGCCAAACTTCTACCAGCAACGGCACCCTAAAAGAAGACAGGAAACACAAATATTGAACTTTAAAACCGAGATAATAATTGGAGAGTCTGGAATGCACATCTCATTCTCAAAACATACTGTATATATTTTGTATATGAACTTACATACCGTATCAACATAAAAACTTCCATTCATGTACACGATTAAAATAAATCTGAATATTTGACAGAGCCTTGACAAGCAACTTGTCAGCACTGACCAAAAACTGTCAGTCTGAGCCTAGGGTTTTTGTTCCTAGCCACCAACCTGAGCAGCGTCTCCTGGAGCTGCTGGGCAGTGGCAGCCAGGTTGAAAGAGCAGTAGGAGTGGGGCAGCAGGACCTCGGTGTGGCGCCGCACCTCGATGGGTGGGTGGGTCATGATGGGGGAGACACTCCCGAAAAATGGGTACAGGTATCTGAGGGAACATTGGCAGGGAGTGATTTGAGAGTGCGGTACCCAATTATTTCAGGTGGCGTAGGTCGCGCTGAACCAATTGGAAATGGAAGAGGGGACTGATCCTGTTCAGGCTTATCTTTGCTCAAAAAGGTTTACACGAGAAATCTATAACTTTGCTTTTTGGAGGGGAAATGAAGGACTTGTTTTGCTGTGGGAGAGCTTTGAGACTGAAATGAAACAGCAGATGTACAAGCTGTGAATATCCTCATCCAACATTTTCATTATAATTAAACGTTGTGCAGCTGAGCAACGTTTTGTTAAATAGATCTTTAGTACAAAGCACAGCCTAGCTACAAATTTTGTCGTAGGTGTATGTAGAAAATGGGATTTTCTATGAGAGACAGGAATAATGAACATGATAAAACCAATTAAGTTATTTGAAACATTACAAGTCACAATTAAAAAAATGAGAAAGAAAAATTAAAAAATAGTGAAACAGAATAGACAGAATGGAAGAGGGCAAAGTTTTTACCGATGAAATAGCAGAACAATGTACATGTGAAAACAGATCAGATTAAACATGAAACCTGTACAAACCTTAAATAAATATTCAAATTTGTAGCTGTTTCAACATTCTTAATACTGCGAAGGTCAATGGATATGGAGAAGTGGTGTGCAGGGGCATCTACCATAACATGGGGCTGGCTGGTGGAGACAGAGGCGTCATCTCTCACTGGTTGGGTTGTGGGATGCTTAGTAGATTGTGTTGTGGGTTGTGGCTCCCTGTGTGGATCTGTTCTGACTTCTGGTTGCCTGGATCCAACTGGAAGAAAATACATGTCAAATTGAATGAAATCTTTCGCTCAAAAACCCGTTTTGCTGAAATAAGTAAAAAAATTTTAAAACAAGGTTCATGTGAACTTGAATAGCATAGTCACTTGATTATCACATCACATCACCAGCATCACCACTACCTCCAACATTATCAACACCACCATGTTCACCACCTTCATTGTTATGGTCACCACTCTCAACAAAATTACCACCACTTTCACCACACAAGCAGCCATTACCATCACCACCTTCACCACTGACACCATCAATACCACCATCAACACCACTAAATTCACCGCTATCATCACCATCTCCAACACCACAATCATCGTCATCACTTCCATCAACAACACCATTAATTCCATGACTACCAGCACCACCGCAGTCACCACTTTCACCATCATCACCACCATCATTATTGTCGTCATCACCACTGCTGTTAATATCATCACAACCATTATCATCACTAAGTCATCAATAAAACCTTTTTTGTCAGCTCTCTTGATCTCCTCCTCAGGGATGCTGGCAGCATCTGCGTCCGTCCTGCTGGTGTCGGTGGGCTCAGTGTAGCTGTCCTCCTGGCTGCCAGCCGCTGGTGAGTTTAGGCACTTGGGCCCCTCTTCAGCGGGCTTGCCCTGCCCCTCAACGACACGCTTGGGAGGGGTGACAGTAGGGGGTGTACGGGGAGGTATCCTGGATGGAGCTGATGTTGGTTGAGAGGACGGCACCTGAATTAGAACAAGACAGAACAGATATGCCGCTTTTAGGAGCAGCACGATGAAAAGAGCTCAAAGAAAACGTAGCTGTAGCCTTTTCAAACTGCCTTGGATACCACCATGGGTTCAAGTACACAAAATGTTGAAGAAGTGTCATTCAACATGGCAAGTGCAAAGTACCAAAATTCATTTACTGACAGTTCTCCATGGTCATTGATCCCTGCAGTAAAAGCCATCTCTCTCCAGGTTCAGATAAAAACAGCAGTATAAGACAGTCTGTGTCTTTGCACTTTTTGTTTGCTCAAATCATAATTAATGTTAAATATTCAGGTGAAAAGGCCAAGATGGTGGAATCAGTAAGAGAGACAGAGAGAGCAAGACTAACAAATGCAGCTGTTAGTGCTTTGAAGGTTACCATTGCATATAATATTTCTTTGGGCTTTAACATCTCCCTAATGCAAAAATACATCTTGAAAATAGTTCGCGGTACCCGCTGCTTCACCTGACTTGGACTGGCCAGCCGACCCCGGCAAGCTCGGTGGTCGAGTGGTTAAGATGTCTGCACTAGTAAGCAGGAGGTCGTGGGTTCGAGTCCCACCCGAGTAAGCTTGTGACTTTTTTCGCAAGCTCTCAGACAATCACTGAGCACACAGTGTTTACTAATATATACGTTGGGTAAGTGCAAAACCCGTTACATAAATTAACATCTCCCCAATGCAAAAATACATCTTGAGAATTTTTAGGGCTTTTCAAATAGCCAATATGTTTACAATAATTAATTAAGAAAAAATAACAAGTCATTGTGTTAGTCCTTAACAACCTGAATGGAAAAGAAGTACTGTATTGAAGGCTCTTCCAGTATGTTTCAAACACATGTAATAAATTTTATTCTTAATTTACATCTCAATAATCATGTTTTCTGTCCAAAAGAAGGACCTGTCATGCGAACAGTTGACCAGACAAGGTATAAATGTAACCACTATTTTTTGCACATCAGCGACAGCACAGAATGATCAGGGCTTGCCAATACCTTGTGAGAAAAGCACTCAAAGCCTTCTGCTGTAGGACTCGACAACCTTGTTTCATTGTTAACATCAACTTGTTGTGAGTTAATGTTACGACGGTGTCAAGTCCTTGACGGAAATGTGCATCTCAAGGTGTCTCTTTCATGAACTTGACAATCTTACCTCTGGCTGCAGTGGTATCTCCTCCCTCCTCAAAGCGACAGACACTCCGACGCAGGCAGTGCTACCCTCCGTAGACGCCGCTGGCAACTGGGATCGTGGGGGAGGCGTGAGACGGAAGGACCCCTGCAGGATGAGCGGCTGCCTGTTGATGGCGTCGCTGTGGGACTGCAGCAGGGAGTTCCAGGGGACCAGAGTGCTGCCAAGGGACTGCTCACCGCAGCACAGATGCACCTGCGAGTGATTGGATTACTGTTAAATCACAAGTAGAAAATATATGAAAGAAATGCATGCAAAGACATAACAATATGGGTGTTTTGCCCTGCATCAATGTGTATTTGAAACACTTTACATATACTTGTATACTCAGTTCTGTTTGTGGTAGGCCTTGGCCTGAAGCGTTTTTTAAACTAATCCGCCGTGCAACTTTTTTTTACTAGAACTGGTATGCCAGTCCAGTGCTAAAGTCGAGGCCTGACAGATACTTTTGTAAAACATACACAAGCTTACTCAGGGGGATTTGAAGCTAAGGTCTCCTGCTTACTAGTGCAGATGTTTTAGTACTAGACCACCAAGATTGCTGGGGTTAGCTGGCTGGTTTGAGTCAGGCGAGCAGTGGGTTCCCCGCTAAACATTTTAATTCAATCCAAAAATGACATCTTCTAAACATTTGGAGGTTTGTTTTTATTTCTACATTACCAACAATATGAATAACATAAAGAAATTATAGGTCTGTGGGAACCGTTTTTTTATGAGTCAGCTAGATCATCTCCAATGTTGACAAATTCATAAGTAAACTTGTTTTTAATTGTCTGACATGGAATACTCAGGTTAAAGAAATCAGCTACTGCAGAGAGTTGATTCCTAAAAACAAAATGAGATCATGATTCCAATTCTGAATTCAGAATAAATTCATCCAATTCTGATACGCAGTTTCCCCAAGCCTGCTAGGCTGGCTCCATGTAGAACCAGTAATACAAAATAATATATTTGATGCAACATCTTGTCTTGCTATGCCATGTCTTCAGACTTTCGAGAAGACACCAACCGTGAGCGCTGGTGCCTGAGCCAGCATCATCCTGAGCGCTGCCACGCTGCTGCGGAGTCGCACTGATGCCCTCTCAGCAGGAAAGCTGGCATTCAGGAGGTCGTGAAATGGCTCATTGGTGACGTCGTTGCCAAAGAGGGAGTAGTAAAAGTAAAAACCCTTGTCTCTGGATGGTAGAGGAATGTTGGAAGGCACCAGCTACCAATGACAAGAAGAAAAACAGGCTCATTGAAGTTGTTTTCCCCAATGTTGGGGCCTGAATGCAACCTTTTCAATTACTACTAGCTTTTTCTTGCCCTTTTTTGGATTACAAAACCCCTTTGCAATTTGGGAATTTTTATTCCTCTTTCACTTCTTGTATATTAGAAGTACCCTTTCCACTTGGTCATTTCCAAGGCTCATTTTTTTTCATTTGAAAGGAACAGATTACATGTCGTTTGTACTGCTTTTCAATAGGGCCATTTTGCTGATGTTTCCCTGAATACGGTATCCTTCTACATTATTTCCAGCGAATGAATAAATGATAACAATGAGGCATGATTATGATGAACTACTTGTAAGGTCGGACGTATTCTCTGCTGGAAATCTCACAAAACACCCTGGATGAAGTGTGAACCAAACAGACTTCAGTGAAATGATTTTGGGCAATGATTTTATCAAACACCACCGATGAATAAATATCGTAGTGTATAAAAGGAAATGAAATGAGTATCATGGAACTGTGAACTGATACCTGAGCTAGATTTGCAGCATAGCCAATGGTGACAGACAGCACAAAGCTCTCAGTGCATCGGTCGGCTGGACCGATTTGATAGAAGCCCTCTGTTTCGTTCAGCACGGGCTTGAGGGAACTGGGATCTATCTCAGCATCAGAGGTACCATCGTCTGGCATGCCTGTGATGTGAGAGGACAAGAAAAGGCCGGCTTGACCAAACAATGTAATGCTTTTAGAACACATGGAAGCCTCCTTATTTTATTCTGACTGGATCCCACAAAATGAGTCCTAAAGCCATTGTTTTCAGTAAATTTTTTTTCAGTTTGCCTGAGAAAGAACAAAGTGAGCTTTGGTGGATCAATTGGTTGGGCACCCTGGTGAGAAAAAGCCACTCTTTGGCTGGAAAATGTTGAAGGATTCTCTTAAGTTACCTCCTACAAGTTTGTTTTCTCGACTGTAAAATTAAAAGTGGTTCTGATGACTTCAGGAGTGCGATGTTGAGTGTGTTCATGCTACCTTTCTGTTCTTCCAGAGCCCAGATTATTCAAAATATATATCTTTGGTAGAGTTTGAAGGATTGGGGAAGGCAGAGCCCAAACACTGTTATGTTCACATAGGGCTTCACCCCCCCCAACAAAAAAACTGACAAGATAAAGGCTTCTGGCAGAAATGAATCAGGGGTTGGGGTTGGAGAAAAGTAAGAAGCAATGAATTTACAACTAAAGTTAAACTATAATCCTAACCCACCTGGGGCCTTCCTGGGAGGGGCAGCCTTGGCCCTGAAGCTATCGTCCTTGGCCTGTGTGTCCGCCTCCAAAGACACGCCCACCCTCAGCTGAGGCTTGTGCCTATTGTACTTGGTGTTCAGCAGGGCATGCCACTTGCTTGTCTATATGACAGGAACATTGTTTATCTGGTATTATCCTCTGGGCCACCTCAAAGCAGGTTTGAGATGGGTATGTGAATGTGAGCATCTACATGTGCCAACTGCAGTAATGTAAACTGTTCACATGGGTAATTCCAGAAATTAGGTGTCCATTTTTGTGTGTGTGTCCCTGTCACATCTGATGTGATTTTGTAAGTTCGGAACACATTTTCTAATTTCCAAGAGTGGTGAGCAGATGCAAATTACCTGCCAAACAAACAGTAATAGTTTGAAAACAATCCCGGTGATATTTCCATGTCAAATAACAAAGGTCAGATGTAACAGGGACACAAAGGTGTCACACTTTTGGACCCCTAATTTCTGGAATTACTCATATATACTTATAATTGGGAACATGATTTGTGACCGATTGTTTACTTTATAAAAAAATTTCTCACTTGACAAAAAAACAAACTTACACACGCCTACATGTACCTTGTAATGGACCTTGTCCCAAGACTGGCATGGCTTTGGTTTCTAATGTTTGGCCATGCTTGGAAAACTGGCTTTCGGAAATCTAGCCACACAAATCACAGCCGCTTGGATCATTGGCTAAGACACATTGGCCAATAGTTTTATTGGTGGAAATACGGCTTTCTGGGCAAGGCATGATTCTAGCAACTTACCACGGGAACTTTGGCCGGCGAGGCTTCTTGGAAGATTGCTGTCCTGAGGTCCAGCATGACGTAGCCCACATTCTCCCGGGCGTTTGTGGTCGTGTCCAGGGCATAGCAGACCAGCTTGAGTGGGGTACGCTGCAAGCGGTGCTGGTGCAAGGCTTTCTTGTCCACCTGCTCGGAAAATAGAAATCACCACTGTCACAAAAAAGGAATTAAGAAGCTGACAGGATACAGTACAAATTGGTGCCCAGGGGCCCATGTCATTCTGAGCTGTTAAAAACTCACATTTGCTAAATAAAATTTTTTTTTTAGTAAGAACAGCGGCCAGTTACATGGTGCTGGTAAGCCTACAAACTTATCTAGAACAGGAAATATGCTTCGAAGAACCAGGTTTCAAGCTTAAAAATCCATACGAAGTACATGTACATGTATATTGCTTCTGACTGGTTTACAGCTGCTTTTTGGTATATTTGTGCATTGTGAAACTGGTAAGCAATTATGTCTGTTTTGCAAGTCTAAGTGACGTGTATTTTTACAAGTTGCTTCTATTAATTAAGCATTGTTTAACAAGTAAATGTGCTGTAAGTTGATATGTCGTTCAGGTTTGAATGCAATACTGTACATTTAAACAGGAGCTTTAGGATTATTTCATTAGCAATTCACTAAGTTTTGAAACTTGGAGAGATAAATATTCACATTTAAATTAAAGTAACATCTCAAAATTGACACACTAGAGATATTTTTTTTCATTATTTTCAAAAGGGGTTTGGGTAAGAATTTTGTTAATTTTGTTCCATTAGACAAACAGTAAGGATGTGTACAATGTAGACTTACACTGAGTGAAATGAAATTGAAATAAAGAGAAAACATTAACTTTTTGAAGGAGCTAAAACAAACATTTCTGTTTTAATTTAAATTTCCAGAGAGAATTCTATACACAAACATGTGCGCACTATGTTTTTTTTAGCTTCAATGACAAATACAGCATCCAGTAAGCCATAAAAACATCTTAAAATGTACAAGTGATATCCAGGTATAGAATTCTTTCTGGTGTCTGGGGATTATAAATGAGAGAAATTCAAGTTTACCTCCCATGCCAACTCTGTGCATAGTTCAGGTGTTTCTGTGTGGGCCACTGGGTCGGTGGCCAGGAGCTCCCCATCAAAGCGAATCTCTATCAGTAACTGATGACGAGACCTTTTGGGAAATTTTCTCCCTGAAAGCAGATTTATGATAAAGGGAAGACACAAAAATCATATCAGTGGCATGAAGGAGTACGCATACTCATGGAACATCCGGCCTAGTGCACGGTTGAATGGATGACAATACAAATCACAATTTGTATTGTAACTGGACATTCCATGTGATTACGTATCCTTTCAGGTTCACCTTGGGTTTGACTATTGCATTATGGGAAGATTAGAGTAGCTTCAGTCCTTTTATGTGCAGGCCTTCGGTCATGCCACATCATGTGTAATCATACTCTGTATATAGTGTAAATAAACTAATCAGAATGTAGTACAGAGTCAAGAAGAATCCTCATTCTTCTCCCATCCGAACCTGGTAATGGTCAATCCAACCGTTACAGTATGCACTCAAATTTTCTACGAAATGGAACATTTTGTGGCAGGTGAACTTGAAGATTTGTAGAAAAGGTAGGTTTAGCAGTTAAGGCAAGCAAAAAGGATCCCAATGCCTATTTCTATTACCAGCTTGTGTCTGGGTGAGATTTGGAAGAAATCGGAGCTTGAAAACAGTGTTTTCGAAAAGTGTACGCATCGATATTTCAAACTGGCGAGGGGATTCACAACTGCTTTTTTAGGGGTGACCTTCCGTGGAAAAAATATCTTAATCATGAACAATCATAAAATGGACTTTAATTTGATATATGTCTCAAACGCATGAGAAACTTGTGTTTTCCCAATTTGTTTGAAGTTCATGTATTTTTCACAGTTGGCTATGACAGTTTATTTACTAGTAAAGCCTGCAACCTTGTTATGGCAGGCTTAAAAACAAAATAGCGCCCTCATCGCGCTCATGCCTGTATGTACTGCACAACCCCTTTCAAGTTTCATATCACGCAATCATGACTTTACGCCGGCGAGTAAAATTTTATCCCAATTTTAGTGGAAGTAACGTTATTCTAGTGTTTACCTTCAAGAAGCGACACGACAACCAGAAACTTTTCCCTCGTCCCCATGGTACACTGACACCAGAGAGTGGTTTCTGTGTAAAATTTGTGTCAACGGAACCAAACTCGGCTTCCGGTAAGTTTGAAAACAGCCGCCATGTTTGTCAAGTGGCGAGCGCATGATCTGTAACCTTTTTTTTTTTTGACCCAGGATGGGACATGACGTCATGTCAGCCGATTTGGGAGTGCAATTTTTAACCAACGCGAAGAAACTGGAAAGGTAGGGCTTGGAAAGTCGTTATTTTACGGATTGCTAAGAAATGAAATTCGCAAAAAGTGGAGCAAGAAATAACATACAGATTAAGTGTATATTTGTTTGTGAAATAAAGGGAATCGGTGTCCATTATAGAGGATGTCCGCCCATGGCAACAGGAAGTGTCTCGTCATGCCCGATTTTTATTGACCGTTTCAGTGCTGTGTATTTTATGGGACCACACGATACGATACACAGCCAGTCAACATTGATGAGGTTGGACTGTTAAATATTTGTTGAAGCGTAAACCTTTGCTAGCCGTCTGTTATCACGCAAGTAGCACCACTTACTCGTATATAAAGTACAGTCTTTATTAAAAGTACAATGTACATATACCGGTTTCTTTTCATTCAGTGCACCATCTATTTTGCTGCTGGTTTCTAACATGTTAAACATGTTTGTTATTCATGTTAATCATAGGTAGGCTATGGCTTGTAGTTCAGCATGATCAGGCCAGGGACCGCTTGCCAACAGAGTTCAGCATGGTCATTGTTCGGCGTACATGTAGGCCTAACATTAGTTACCAATGTAAAATTTTAAATATGTGATCAGGTGCTGTGCATGCTAGACATGCTCGCCTACTGCTACACAAACAGTACCAAAGTCTTTGCCAAAAACTTGGCCCAAAAGAGTAGCGGACATGAACTTGAAGGAAACTTACGTTATACTTCATCTGACATGTTCAACCTGTTTCTACTTACACTCAAATAATTAGTTTGCCCATTTATAGCGGATATTTTGCCTGTATCAGTTTGCACTTCATTTGTAGCCAAGGAACTGATACAATTAGTAAGTTCACCTTCAGTAAACATGTACATTGTCGCTGCATGTTATACAAAGCATTAACAGCAAACATCATTTTTCAAAAGCCTGATTTCAGTGTTTTTATACGGTACAAGCCAACATGGACTGGCAGCATGCTTGAAAGTACATGTTAATTTTTCCCATATATCAAAAACCTCAGGCAAAAATGGTTTGGAACCCACAAATATCTTTAACTAAATTTTGGCCTTGTTTAAATTTTTGTTTATCCGGCACATTCAGCATTGTCTCGAGCACATTATTCATAGAAAAAAAATTGTGATGTTCACTATTTATGACATGAACTTGAAGGATTGATGGGCAAAAGTGATAGGCTATTAACCTCTGTGCACTCATTCACTCCTACGAATGTCATATTAATGGAGTCCAATCTATATTTGATGTTAGTATTAATTTGCCCATATTTCCTCCACACTAAGTTCTGTTCTGCTGACAGAAATATGCAGTTACTCAAACGGTATCTTGATTGCTTTCGTTTATTGGGCAGTTTTCAATGGTTCTCTTTAATTGCCCAATGTGGAGGGATAAGGATAATATCAGCGCCTTTGAATTATAAATAGCGTGAGATACCGTACATGTATATATACTGTGCACCTGATACCTTATTAGTATCCTTATTAGTGAGAGTTCCATATGAATATCACTAAGTTTCCTTTGCAGTAGTTTATTAGCCATTAGAAAGTGATGTGTCCTAAAAAGTCAAATTTGGCCGAATTCACATTGTTTGGGAAAAGCATGTGCAATGTCAGTATGAGCCTCTGACTCAGTACATGCACATTAGTTGTTTGAAAAGAAAATAGCTGTATACGTGATTTGTGGTATTGAATAAGAGGAGATGCTCTCAAACTTTAGATTTGTGGGTCACTTAAGTGTCATCTCACTACTGTTAATTTCTTTTTTCTCGTAAATGTTCAGGGTGCCTTTAACAGACGTAGCTACGTGGATCTACCCATGGATATACTATAGCAGTCCTCATCGGTGGGGATTGGGTTCCAACTCGGATATACCTTGGTAGCTGTGGAGTGATATGTTCTTCAAGTGACAATAAATCATCGCTTGGATTTTTTTTTTCCGTCATTTTTTTCTGTTGGCCAACATCACCGATTTCCTGGAAATGATCTGCCTTGGAACCTATCGACACATTTTGTGCAGGATGGATTGTCGGACAGGTTCAAGCTAGTCCTTTTTCTCCCCGTCCCGTCGTCCGTGTTCAGTTGTGGCTGGAACCGCACAGCGGCTTCAGTGGGTGTGTTTTTTTTCTGTTGATTCTGTTAGCGTCGGACTCGGAGTGAACGGGACTGCTCAAATATGCAGACCAGCAGGATGGAGAAAGTGGACAATGACCCCAAGCGGAAATCCAAGGCCAGCAGCCGGGGGTCGCATCAAACCAGGTCCAGCAACCCCGCCAGTACTGGGGTGCTGATGGTTGGGCCCAACTTTAGAGTTGGAAAGAAGATTGGCTGTGGGAACTTTGGCGAGTTGAGACTAGGTGAGTGTTCTCTGGCTGAAGAAAAGCCGCACTTTTGTCTTCCGAAGCAACTTTCATTTTTATAAACCACTCTGGCAAGCAGGATTGAAAGGTGTTTAGCTGGTGTGACAGGCGCACATGTATGTTGCGCATCCTGGTGTAAATTCCTTGCTGACCGATAGACTGACCTGGTGATTTGAAGCTTCTCCTGCAGTGATACCCCATATTCGTGCACTGGTTGTATTCGCAAGTTTAATGCCTCTTCAGAGCGCGAAATTAGACCAAAAAAGTGCTCGGACAAAATGTCATAACACAATCAATTTTGTTCTGCCATTACCAGCTTTTGATCTGCCTTATATTATATAAAAGGTAGAGTTGTGACGTGCACTGTCAGGGGTCAAATTAACTTTATTTCCTGGTCCTACCAGAACTGCACACACAGCCGCATCGAGCAATCCTTGTTCAGGCGAAGGCCGCGACAATTTTTTTTTTTTTTTTAGTTTGCCCGATCGGGCAGGACATGTCATAAATTTGCTTGCTCGAATTGGATCAACACTTACCAAAGATTTTTCAGAATCCACGATTCTTATGGTTATTTAACTTAGGCCTACAGCATACATGCAGTCTTTTATTAGGCAAAAAAAAAGTTGTGCTACGCAAGCCTCTCAAAAATTGGGTCAGTAGGTCGGAACTTTTTTTTTTGCTTTGGGGGCAATTTTTGTGCTGATTGAATGGCATCAGTGGGGTGAAAGTTTCCAAAAGTTTCTCAAAAAGGATGAACACATGAACACCTGTCTTAATCTACGTAAAAATTTTTACGTACTGCAATTCGCAAGAAAATTATGAACAATTCACACAATCACGATGGCAGTCACGACGGCAAACTGGCCAACAATGTCCGTGTATCGCGTGGTAAGCATGTGTCATGCATCCAGACCAGCGGACATTAAACCTTGTGCCATGAGCAGAACAACCTCAAATTACACTCATGAACACAGAAAATACAGACATAAATAAGAGACCAAGTTATGTGAATTAACTTGCAGAAAACCTCTTGCAACATAGCATCCATGTCTTTCCGGCCTGCAGCCTTTTGCATTCGCAACGTGTGTATGGCCAATGAAGAGTGTTTATGTACAGTACATTCAATACATGTACAGTACAGACTGGTACTGGTTGCTACATTTCCATCATGCATTCTTTTGCATGGGTGCAGCACGGTGCGAACCAGAGCAGCTTCGTTTAATGCACAAAGTTTCGCGCACAGTTTTCACCACTGTGACAGCAAAACGTTGATGTTGACGACCCGCAAAGAATTATAGGGCAATTTCATGTCTGTGCAAGTAAAGTCTACATACACACATGGCGCTCGGTGTAATTAACGTAATTCTGACACAAAACTAATAATAAATGGGACGCCATAATCCCATATATTGTGTTGATATTTTAAGAGCTGTTAGTGATATGTTGGTCGGACAATTTGTCCGAGCATCTTTGATTTTGTTCGGACAAACACAATAAGTGCTCGGAAAAAGTCCAACCATAATTTCACGCTCTGCCTCTTTATCTAACAGGGTGTTGTGGTTTGAAAGAATCACAGACGCCTCAAATTAATGACTGTGGGTACTGAGCCACCATGGTAATGGCATCCCTTTGGACTGGGTATTTACAAGTTTGCAATATGCCTGGATGTATCAAGTAAAAAAATCTGTGCAATACGTCATGAGTACAGTACCAGCTGTTTCTCAAATCCTGAGGAACCATCTTATTAACCCTTATCCTGGCCTCTCTATGCTTTCTCTGGGCACCCTGACACATCCTGCTGGGTTGACTACAGGGTCTGAAACAGTCTGAAACCCCCAGAAATGCATAATTTGCCCACTTTGTAGTTCAACCTGCGAGTGGTCAACAATAATGAACAGGCCCACATTTAGCTTAAAATGTTTGCTTCTCCACTGTCTGGTAGAAGAGAAGAGATTGCCAGTTGTCTTCTACCATGTCTACCCATACATGTACCGGTAGCGCCTGTGCACACTTTAATATTCTGCTGTTGTAACAGTTTTATCTCAAAGAACTAAACCCTTGTAATGCCAAGTGTCATCAGTGATGATGAAAATTTGCTAGTAACCATCTCTGGAACAGTCCAGCTCACAACAATAATTTATACTTTACATGTAAAAATTTACATCTCCGAGCACTAGACACTTTATTACTGGATGTAACTCCAGTAGTCCCAGTTGGTGGAAACCTGTATGCATTTCAGTCTTCAGGTTTTCAGGGAAAACCAGTGCTTTTGGATGACCACATGGTACACCAAGTGCAGTACAATGCAATGTAGATTTTTTTTCAAATGAAAGTTGCTGTTTGCAAGTGATTCACTGACAGAAAAACAAACAGTAGAGTTTTCCCACAAAAACGTAGATTGTAAGCCTTCGAGAAATCTTACTCCAGTTTTAGTATTAAATGTACAGTGCACAGCACGAGCAAGAAACTGCATTCCATAGGAAATAGAAATGATGCGCTGAGCCACTGTTGAAGAACATGCAGTCCACAGGTGCAATTGCACAATCTAAACTAATATGCTGGAGTTGCTAAATTGCCATGTTACACATGTACATTGTGCATGTGAACTTTTTGTTAACCCTAACCCCCTTCAGGTTTCTCTAGGTACACTACTTACCAGGATTCTCTAGGAACCCTACTGACCAAGATTCTCTAGGCACCCACTGACCAGGATTCTCTAGGAACCCTACTGACCAAGATTCTCTAGGCACCCTACTGACCAGGATTCTCTAGGCACCTTACTGACCAAGATTCTCTAGGCACCCTACTGACCAGGATTCTCTAGGAACCCTACTGACCAGGATTCTCTAGGAACCCTACTGACCAAGATTCTCTAGGCACCCTACTGACCAGGATTCTCTAGGAACCCTACTGACCAAGATTCTCCAGGCACCCACTGACCAGGATTCTCTAGGCACCCTACTGACCAGGGTTCTCTAGGTACCCATTGACCAGGATTATCTAGGCACCCTACTGACCAGGATTGTCTAGCCTAGGCACCCTGCTGATCCCCGTAGAATAAAACAACAGCAAAAGTGTGGAGCCTGCTGAACATGACAGAATCAAACAGCTAGAACAAAAGGCCTTTGTTCAATGTTCACATTGACAAAATCCCACAGAAAGTGACCACTATTTGATATTGTCAGTTAAGCATGGTTAGGGTTCACTTAAAAAAAATACATGTATAAAAAGTCATAACATGCCATGTATTGCACTGAATATATGTACGCACATGCACAAACATACGTGTACATGTATGTACATGTATGTCACTTAAGTGCATGGCATGCCATTATTAACACACACGTGTTCTCCCCTGGATTGGGATCACAGCCAAGCAGACTGATTGCACCACTGGTCTCTTTCCCTTCCCTCTTCCACTTCTGTTTTACTCTGGTATCAGGACATCTCTTTTTTTTCTTCTTTTTTTTAATGTGGACATCAGAATCGAACGTACGCATTCATCCAATCTGGCCTGTGTGTGTGTTGCCGTCATCATTCCCCGTTGAACTTTGTCTGGGTGTTGCCAGGTTGGTAATCAGATAACACCCTACCGGTACATGGGTTTTTCAGGATGGATGGACTTGTCCTTGTGCGCTGCCAACATCTGAATGGGTCTTATTTTGGGGTAGTGTCTCTTACCCTGTACATGTACAGATACATGTAACAATGGCCGTTACATGTATAGAAATGCATCTGATAAATATTGTGCTGCCCTGTGTTATACCGGGACTTGCCTGACATGAAGTACATTGGTTTTTATCAGGGAAAAAATCTCTGGTTTCTGGTCAGGAGCTGCTCCAGAAGTGGTGCGGTGGCACTGCTTTTTTTTTCAACCCTCACTTGTGGGGGGGGAATGATGTACATGTACATAATGCACGATGTCCATTGCAACTGCATGCGCACAACACTAAAACAGACTGGCCCTTATACTTTCTATTGTGAAAAAGCAATTTCAGTTTGGACATACATGTATGTAGGCAGGACATAAGATCAACTCATCTGGTTCCCAGATGTACATGTACAATTGTACATATAAATGTATAATACAGAAATGATGTCATCTGAAAAAGAGTGCCTGACTAAATGTACGGGGAACTAGAGGGACTCCTTTACTGATACTGTGTATCAAAAACGCGTTGAAATTACGGAGTAGAAGGGTTCTGTTTGGACATCATTTTTATACCAAATGAAAAACTTTTTTATTCTGCCGACGTGCAGGTTTTCGGCAATACGCATGCTGACCAGAAACTGGAGACTTTTTATTTGGCTTTATTTATGAAGAACTTCACATCAACACTTTTTGCGACTAACCACCATTTGACAGGCCATAGTCAGATTGTGCAAGTATAATTGTGTTTCAGAAACCGTGATCTATCATCCATGTTTGAGAATTGGCAATATCCACAGAAGAAAAAAAGGAACAAATGAAAGATTGTCATTGAATCTTTCAAAGCACCAGCCAATATGGATTCTACTTGGGTTTTAGCAGGACTCTAATTGATCTTGAATTATTTTATGCTGTTTAATTTGCAAAAGACAAAGCTGAACATTTCACCAATCTTTAATGCCACGTACCGCTACATAATTAAATTCCTAAATCCATAGACTGTTGTAAGATTATGCCATATTTCACCTGTGCATTCTAATATTGTACAATGTCCTTGATGGAGAAGCATTTTACCCATTTAAATGTTAGCACCGGTAATCTGTGGGAAGGAATGCGAGCAATAATCAATTTCTTTTAATTCTTAAGCAACTTTTCGCCAAATCACTCTGAAAAGTGCTGATAGGAATGTTCATGGGTCATTCTGTGGAAAACGAGGCTGATGTCAGACATGCAACTGCCGTTTGTTTATTCAAATGCACTCTTCTTGATATTAATACGCAACCCCATAAATTTCTTCTTTTGAAAGTGGAATTTCAGCTGTTCGTGGAGAAAGCCTGACAGGATGTTTATTGGGAAAAAAGAAGATAAAAACATGAGAAATTCAACAAATACTGTACACAGTTCGTCAAACTTTGCATAATGCGTGCAGCTCTTGGCACTTGTGTATTCCACATAACTGCAAAATATAAACCAGAACCCCTTCCCCACCCCGCCACTATACCACAACAGCCGCAGCATGGCACCAGATACATGTTTGAAATGGTAAACTACTTTTTTTTTCCAGATTTCTAGGAATTCAAAGCACATGTAGACATTTGCCCAATAAAATTCATATTTTTTACATTATAGGGCCTAGTACCGGTATTTGCTTCTTTGTAATCAGTTGACGTTGGATACTCTAAATCAAAAAAGCTTCTGGGGCATTTTTTTTTCTCCCTGTAATTTTTTCAAAATTGCAATTTATTTGTGACGCAACCAATCACGACACATAAATACGTCAACCGCGGAAATGAAAAAAGAAGTCTTAAAAGAGTGCACACGTCCTCCGTGGAACAAATAAGGAAAAGTGTCCATACACGTCATCTGGTTTGGTTAAGTAATGTACACACCAGTATACATGTATGTAACAGTTGGTGTATGAGCACATGTACATATTTACATGTACATACCGGTATGTACATGCAAGTCACATCAGGAAGGCAAAGAAGAAGGCAGGTTGTCACAGCATTCGAGTACATGTACAAGTACGTTACATATTCTTGTGCACACACCAACTCCACAGCGTAAAACAGAAAGCTTTCTTTAGCTGTTATTAATTTGATTACCCATTGACATCTGCTGGGAACATGGCATACATGTACATGTACTGAATATGAAGTGGGGAACAGATGTTTGTAAAATGTTGTGGTGGGACGTCCAGATTTCCTGGAATGAAAAGTACATGTACTTGTATACAGTTGGGAATGGAGATCATTTGTCCCTTTAGAAATATTTTTCTACATGTACATGTACCTTGACATGTTGAACCTGACACAAGTGTTCACAGTTACCTAAATTTCACCCCCTCGAGTACAAGTCAGCATTCACTGCATGTATACATACATCCTTGTGCACACAGCAACTTCACAGCCTCCAGCATTCAACCATTGGCGGTGTTATTGTACTCTGTAAACTCCAAAGCATGAATCACCTCAACTGGCTTACAATGGTTACATGTGGTGTGATTGTCTGGCGTCGACAATGGGCTACTTGGGGTTGCTCCACCAAAGCAGAACACACCCATGACGGCTAGCAGTCTAAACACACAACTTGAAATGATATTGATACCAATGATAGAACCCTCATGATTTGTGACCATTGGCAACCAGGTTTCATGTACAAATTACAGAACACAAAAAAGAGATTTGAAATTTATGAATTAATTTTATGAGTTTAAAAAATTTTAAGTAAAAATGTGTGTTTTAAAGATGACTGTAGAAATCGACATTCTGTACATTTTTTTTAAATGAAACTGCTGTAACTTGTTTCAATTTCATTTTCCAACAGGTAAAAATTTATACAACAATGAGCATGTGGCTATTAAATTGGTAAGTACTTACATTTAGTTTCAAAACTAAATGTTTTTCTTCATTAACATTTGCACAGTTTAAATAACAGTGAAGAAGGAATTGTTGGGAATCAACAACTTCAAACAAACAAACAAAACATTGCTCAATCCACAGTTGGTCTTGGGACACTTTGTATTTGTTCAACTCCTTCGGGTGTCCTTTTCCTTCGTCCCTTACCAATCTTGTCAAGCGCATAAATTTAAGAAAAGGGCGAATCAAGACATTAGAGAATGAAATACACTTAGGTCATGGTGTCATCAGAGGTAAAGCTGAAGTTACAAAGAAAGAAAGTGTGCGGGTACACCATGGGCAAAATCTCCATTGGGGAGAAATGTTGGCTCAGAGAGCAGCCGTTGGTGAGAAAGGTCTTCAAACAGGTTACTCTGTTCGTCTTCAGGAAACCGCTAAATAAAGCTGTTGGACCTTACTCTTTCAATGGTTTTTGCCCTTGATATCTGGAGGGACTCGCATGTACCGCTAGTGTTGGGATGGGTTTAGGTTTGGCTGCTGACGTTGGCGCCAGCTCAGACCGCATTAGGAAAGGACGGCAACAGGACTGTGACCAAGATCAAAACAAAAACATGATGCGACTGGTCCAGACCCGCAGTTGCCTTGCAAATTGGAAGGGAGGGAAGGAAGAACATATTTAGAAGTACTGTGCATTCTCTGTGGTTTCCTGTGTCGTAATAGTGCACCGTGCTGTCCAAGTTACCAGAGGGACGGCTGTTTGATACGCCGTTTCCTGTCAATTAAACCCCAAGTGCCATATCAGTGTGTATATATATTTGTAATTTGGGTCTTTTTACCCCCTGCAACAATTTCTGTGGCCTGCCAATTATGTTTGATGGTGCACATGAACATGATGGGGGGGGAGGAAAATCATGGTTTCCTAAATTATGTTCATAAATGGTAATTGACATCATTGACATGAACAAACACATCTGCTCTGTGGGAACATATCGAACACCTGTTTTTTCTTGATGGTCTTGTAACATGTATATTTGTAGCTAGCTACATGTACATGTTTTTGTCAGGAAGTGTTTTGTTGAGGTTTAGATCATGGAATACTTGTAACTTTACACAGAATTTAGAGGCTTTTTGATAAAATTACCTCCTGGATCGGCACTTTTGTTACACAGGCATAAAATTTTTTTTGGGGGGGGGAAGCAATATATACTACACTGTTGAGCTAATGCATGCCATGAGAGAAAAGTTTGTTAACCCTAATACCTCAATGATCTGACAAAACAATTAGTCACTCATAAGTTGATGGACATCTATGAAATGACGTCAGATCCCTCTTTGAATCAGCAAGGGTTAAAGCACTGTGTACTTGACTTGATGGCGTGGACAAGATGTCATCAGTTTTGAGCATGGAGCCGTGTATTAAAAAGAGCAAGCTTGTGATTTTTTTTTCTCACAAGCTCTGACGTCACATGTACCTCTATGCCAAGCTTTTAAAAAAATGACACCAGAGTTTGGTAAAATCCAATGTCAGTACTGTTCTGGCAGATTTGTACTAATGTGTAAACGAAGTCCACTCCAAAAGTATTCATAACTTTCAACAACGCACGTGGAATCTTTTGTGGAATCATTTTTGTCTTTACACATTTAGTGTTCACTGTTCACACTCTCTCACATCTACCGTAAGTGTGTTCGACTACTGCATTAATTTTGGCTGGTCGTTCAGGACCCTTCCTTGAATGATATTCCCCATTTGGATATGCATGGACTGCAAGAGCATCTTTGCAAGGCTTTTCTTCTGTATTTTTCAATTCCCAGTTTTTATTAACAGAAGGTTTATGTGATTTGTATCATTTATATGTATAGACCTCTCACATTATTGAGGTACCATTACTGATGGTTAGACGTTGATGTTTGCTTGTATCTGGCAGGTTTCATATTTGGAACTGGGATTTTAAACTGGACATTGTGTCTTCTTTCTTATCCCGCCTGAACTTCTGTTGGTAGTAAAAACTCTTCTCATTAGTTCCTAGACTTTAAATAATCAATAATCATGGCCATGTTCTGTTCATATTTGTGCACATTTATGAACATACACCATAGAAAGTATTGGTACATGTATATATGATGGCGTATAACTGATGATAATTTGATGGTTTCATTTCCAATGCATTTGTAAATGAAATCAAAAACAAATCAATTGAATAAATGACTTGGTGAACTTTGTTTAAGACAAATGTTTAGAATGCTGTTTTTAACCTCCATTTGTAGATTAAATCAACAAAAATTATTCAAAATTCCAGTCAGTACGGGGTGTAGGTACCAGTACATACATTTTCCAATTACTATCTCAAATCTGAATAGCTTAAACAATAAATACATCTGTGTCAGACTCAAGCTGTAACAACTATGACATATGCACTCACAATAAGATCTGTTATTGATTGCCACCACTTGTTTTGTGCTGGTTCATTCGTGCATTGCATTTTGATATTGAAGGTCACAAGCAGGTCAGTTTGAGATATAGAGCCCAGAATTGGGTTCTTTTCTGGTTGAGGATTTTGTCAATGCAACAATTTCACCATGTTTTAGGGGCGTGCTGATGACACATTTGCATATGTTAGACTCTAGACTTTTTTTTTTTTAATGTGGGCATTTGCCATTATCCATCACTGATTTAAAATATGGCATTTCCTACAACAGAACAAAATAACGCTATTGAGTCAGAATGAAGTCCATACTTAGTCCTGTTCCTGAAGCAAATTTCTTTGGTGCTTCAAGGTATGGTAATTAGAGGCTTAATTAATGGGGTACTCCAGACCACAGCCGTGAACTCGGAGACATACACTGGTAACAGCCAAAAATGGATCCTCTGGAACAATTTGAACTTTATTTAAGTGATGTGGTTAAGAGGACAAGATCCAGTTTCATGGTACATGTACTAGTAAACAGGGCACAATAGTTATGCTTACTATTTACAATGTTCTTTATGAGCACTGTATAACATGGTTCTCCATATCGTACACATACCTGAAAACTGGAAAAGGGATGTTCAGTTTCAATACACCGGTACAGTAAGCCACAACTGTATAACCCTAGGTCTCATCCATTTCAGACCAAATAAGTTTTGCCTGAGCCCAAATCTCTGTCATAAAGGTTGAATAACCTGGGCCTAGCAGCCAATTTCATACAGAGCTTCCACATACGGTATTTCAAGGAGACTGATAAGCAGTAAGCACAGCAAAAGCAGGCTTAACACTGAATAAAAGAAGTTGCCTGGATCAGTAATGTAACAACACAAATCTCTAAGCACCTGTAACTATTGGCACCTCCCTGTGATGAAATGGGGCTCAAACACCAGCATGATGTTCTGCTATCATAGTAGCCAAAAGTACATGTAGGCTGCCTGTGCTTGTCATTTTAATGCCTGTGTTTAACAGCAGTTGTGAGCAGCATAATAAAGACAGTATGTATATTCTGAACACATCCCGTTGAGGGTGTATTCCCCCTCATATAAATTGATTTGAGTTTTTAATTTGAATTAGTCATAAAATGGTAAAGGTCACCCTTGCATTGATCTTTTCCTAAGCAACATTGGAGGAACAAAATGCCTAGAAGGATATCCCACAGTGAGCTCCTGAGGAGGGTGATTCATTAAAAGGCTTAAATGTGTGTGATAAACTGTAGTGGAGAAGTCAAGGCTCCCTGTTAGAAGAGGATCCAGTGCTGGACATTGTCACCCCCTGCTGGATGGGATAAAGAAAAGCCTCGACATTCTGATGATAAAGTCAAAGGATTTGAGAATATTGTTTGCTGCAGGGAAGGACTAAAGTATTAAGGAATGATTATGGAGTGTGCGATGTGAGACCTCATCAAAATGGATTACTTACCAAGGTCTACATGAACTTGAATGTATGTGGAATAATTGTGATCGAAGCCATCAAATGATAAAGGAATAACTCTGGAAGTACATGTGTTGAAAAACATTGGACGTCATTCAGTGAATGCAAGTTTTCCAGTGCAAAACAAAATCACGTAGACCGTTTTTGGTCAGAGAATTTTCCTTTCGTGTTTTTTTTACATGTAGGTTTTAATTATTTTTAGATAACCTTCTTACACCGTCTGGTTTTCTTTTGTCTTCTGGCTTGTTTGTGTAAAAACAGTAAAGTAATTCATGCATTTGAAGTTTGATGTGCCGCATTTTAAAAACTGATTTTCTCCCAGCTTGCTTTCTCAGATTTTAAATCATGTTGGTGGGAGCTTTTGCTGAAAGGACAGGGTAGGATAGTTTCATAGAGGGTTGCGTCTGAGCTTCAAAATTGTATAGTGCTTTGTGCACCGCGTGAAGAGTTTCTGCCCATTGAAACACCTGGCAGTATTGACACACATCTTTGGGGGTACTTTCATGGTATTGTAATCACTTGAATTGACGATTCTCAAAATTGAAACCAGAAGTTCAGTGTTGAATGTGTACTGGTGCATACACGTACAGTGCATGTACTGGTACATATAGGTTATTATAGAATTGTGAGGCTAATTTTTAGGTAAGGCTAAAGCTGTACAGTACATTCCATTTTTTGTATATCAGTTTTGTATGTATTAATTTTGTTTATTTACGTATACTTGTGTTTTTTTTTTGTTTTGTTCCCCTGGTTATATAGTTGTCCTTCCCTTATGATATCTCATTTCCCTTCCTCTGAATCAATGTTGCCCCACTCAATTTCTCTTTCAGTGGTGGAATTTTCACATTCAATTTATTTGGCCGTGCTTCCTTGTTTATTTGACAAATTGTGAATGTTTTGGGAGGCGGGTGATGAATGGATGGTGGGGGCAGCACTGTTTATTGCAGTGTCTCCTGAAGCTAAGGCCAATCAGGGCATTTAATAGTCACACACAGGCCTATCCCCAACATCAATCACCTGAATTAAGAGGGACATTATTCAACGCTGCAATTATGAACCCCAAACAGTGGTATTAACTAGCCCAGTTTACGACTTTTAACAGGTCATTTTTTT